CCTCAGAGATGTATTTATATACTATGTTCATACATAGTTTCTGGAGTAGCACTATACAGTGTCAGCCCTGGCTCAGTATATCATTACCATTATTTATCTTTCAAAGAGGGGGAAAAAGGTTTTAAAAACTCTTTTCCGAGTTTCCATTATAGACCTGATTTGTGAATCAAGGGTGCTCCGGGACCTGAGAGCTAAATGGTCCATCCATTAAGCTCCATCAGGCAAAAACAAGCAGATCTAAGTCTGTTTACAGCATTAATCAATGAGCTGCCCACTCACAAGTCTCTAAGCTGCAATAGGTATCTGCGATCACTACGCCTCGACTCTCAACGGTCCCCCTCAAGGTTACTGCCTATTGCCTCGCTCCTCTCTCAGGATGGGAGCTGCATACTGAGCACATCGGCTGGTCTGGAGCCAGAGGACCACTCAAGACAAACTTCTGTTTTCTGTCCTGGCCGTGCGGGAGAAGTGTCGAGAAGTCCCAGCTGCAGTGAGGGCGCAAAATCCCGCTTGTTTTAGGAGCTACAGGTGTCATCAGTGGGTATCATTAAAGGTTTAATATTCTGAAGAAGTGTTGTGCAAATGTTAAACCATTTGTTAGATTTAATTAGAGGATAAAGTGGCTGGAGAGAAAAAATAAAGAAAATATACAGTATACTGGCGTTGGAATAGGAGTGGGAGGAAGGGTACCAAGGCAAAAGTGAGAATCAGAGTGAAATATAGAATAATGTAGCAAAGGAAAGAAAATACCAGAGACGAGGGGGGCTGGCAAAATGTGATGATAAGGCATAATCTGCTGAGGGGAGAAGATAAAGTAAAGACGAACTAGGCAGCAGGGAGGGAGACAAACCGAAATAATGTAAATGCTTCCTTTTTCAGGCTGATGGAACTTTTTTTTTTTTGCTGTGTTGTGCAAACACAAAGCACACATGCAACACTGTTCTGTGAGCACAGTCCACAGACACACAACTCACACCCAAAATTAACAAACTCCAAACTCTCAGCTTTTATCGTCACTTCTGAGGATACAAGTTTCATCCACACCAGTCCGCTAACATCTGATCCGCCCATCAGCCACCTCATCTCTGCACGGAGCAGTCATTAATGATGGATGATGCATGAATTAATCATGAGAAAAGGGGACAGAGATATAAAACACACAGTGAGGCCCCAAGGGGAGCAGAGGAACCTATGGTAAGCAGCCTGCATACGCCAAAGTGTGGCTCAGGAATCACAACATTATATAACACAAGGTCGAGACAAAACGTTCAAACCCTTGTACCAGAGCTAATGTTGTGGAACTGAGAAAAGACACACTTAGTAGCCAAACACAAGAAAACAGACGATTAAACAGCCTAAACGATACAACACAAATTCAAGTCACCCCCGAGGTTGGGCTGCACCATATGGGAATACATCATTTTGCGATATGAGTCACGATTAGTGGGATATATTTATTTATTTAAATAATTTAACAGTTGTGACATTAACTGAGGTCTGTACTGCACAAACATGTTTTCTTCAATCTGGGGAATAAGATTTGTAGACCACAGTACGTCATCATAATGCTGTTTTGTGACACATTTATCCCACATCACCTATATCACCTTTCTACTATTTGGATATTGCACTTGCCCATATTGCGATCTCGATAACACTGCCATTAATTGTGCAGCCTCACTCCAATTTTGATGTGCCACAACTACTGAAAGGTTTGGTCTCGTGTGACGCATAAAAGTCAAACCCAGCTCATTGCGTTTAACACCAATACTAAAAAACATTCTTGATAATATTGTGATATTGATTTCAACGTCATGCCTTAACCTTACTCAGCAGGTAAACCTGATGTATAGCACAGGGGCCAATCTGCTTCCTGACAGTCATGGCGCCAAACTGTGTCGCCAGGCTAGCACAGCATCCTGGGGATTTAAGTATATGGGCCTAATTGATTCAATTAGACTTGGACTCACCTCAATGCTGCAAGTATATGACACTGCCTAAGCTGACAGAGCAACCATTAACAAATCCCTGCTAAGTGTTGTGCAAAGTGCCACACTCAGCAGTGCCTCCATCAAATCCATCCATCCACACAAATACACAAGCCCCTTCTGTCCCACAGGACTGGTAGAGTTTGACTTGTCAGAATGTTTAGGCACATTTAACACATTCATTAGGCATGTCCGGTAGTTTTGAAGGAGCACAAACGAATTGCTCGTAAGTCAGTTAATGGGAGACACATAAATCCAATCAATAAGCTTTTAGCTCACAGACAGAGAATTTCACCGGCATTAAAGCCGTGTGTGTGCGCGCCTTCATGCGTACATGTGTGTGTGATTACTATGTGAGTGTGTTGTTACTGTACACAATCCCAGAGCAGAACGGGCAGCACTTGTGCATGGATGCAAAGAAGATTACAGAGTGAGTTCAGACAAAGGGCTGCAAGCTTAATGACTGTGTGTGGCTTATGTTGTAGTGCATGCTGATCTGGGCACTATGAACAAACATGCTTAAATACAGAATGTCCCTCACTTATACGGTTTGGCAGCACTGTACTGCTGCAGCAAGGGCGCTGTAGAAAATGTTGAGTCCCCACCTGAATGATAACAGGAATGCAGACAGACAATTTAGATATGCGTAGCTGAAAAAGACAGAACTGACCTGTGGACTAGCTTCCAAATATACATAAGACTGCAGGCACACACACACAACACACACACACACACAGCTGATCCTTCAGCACATTGCCCTACAGGCAAACAGGGGCTCAGCTGTGAGGCTGTATCCTCAAGTCCCACTTATTTATTCATGGCACTAGTCAGACCTGTCCTAAGGTCCCCCAATCTTCAGGTAACAGTGCTGTAACAAACCATTTTAAAGCACATGGCACACAGGGCAGGTTTGGTTGTGTGTGTGTGTGTGTGTGTGTGTGTGAGGGGGGGGGTTCTAAAATGCTAAATTGGGCACACACCTGGTTTCACAGTCTTCATGCGGATGGGCTCCCGAAAGTGGCGGATGACAGCCAGTGTGTCTCGGTTGGTGAGTCCGCTCACTGGAGTGCCGTTCACCTCCAGCAGCACGTCCCCGCTGCCGGGAAACCTCCCAGCGTGACAAACCAACGCCTCCGAAACTATGTGTCCGAGGTAGGGGAACTCTCCCAGCTCAGCGCCGCCTCGCACCTCCACCACCGTGACCAACTCCCCGGAACCCCCCCACGACACGGTGCACTCCTGTACTTTAGTGGACCAGTGCTTCTTCTTTTTCAGTGTCTTGGACATTGTTGGTAGCTCTTGTTAAACCTCGGAGGGAAGTCCAAGAACGATCGTCCTTCAGCGCTAAAAAAACAAACAAACAAACCCGTTTCTGATCCTAATACGCGATGACTCACGGGAAAACCATTGCAGATTAGAGAAGTTGATGCTGCTTTCTTGTGTTGTATTCCATTCCAGGGAAATGAAGTCTCTCTCTCAGATCAAACTCCCTCTGTTGATAGGCGATCCTTCCATTGAATTACTCGAGCATCACCTGTCTGCGACTGGGATGCGAGACCAGCTGCGTCAGTGTCGCATTGAGGCGGAAAGTGCTGGTTCTGATGCTGGGGCGTCTAGATCCCCCGAACCCCAGTTCACAGCAGTGTGCACTTTGAAAACAATAGCAGCTTCCTCCACGACTTTAAACCCCGATACTAAAGAGCAAGGATCCGGATCCTGTGAGCCCCGCAGTTGGTGCGCACCAGAGAGAGAGAGAGAGAACCCTGTTCACTTCCAAAAGCGTGGAGTAAATATTCCACTTCGGAAAATTCCTGCCTGAATTGATCAAACTGCCCAGAAAAGAGTTTGTACAAATACTGGGAAACTTCCAAAAACTGATCTGCAGACAGATTAATCAGCTGTTGAGTAATTCTCCGCTCACTGACAGCTCTTCATCCAAGACACGACCAGAGAGGCAACTTTACTGCGCGCACCTGTCCTCCCCTCCTGCCCTCCTCCGCGGTGACATCAGCAAGGCAGTCCTTGGAAACGGAAAAACATACCTGGCTCTCCTCCGAGCCGGGCGGTTCTCTGCTCCTTCAAACACTGGAGCCCTGCTTCTTGTTCTCCGTTACGCGCTGTGCGCTCTTCCCTGCGTCTCCAGAGGCACTGTGGGGATTATTTTCCAACTAAAAACTACGCAGCAGAATGAAACAGACGTGATCCGATTAGGCTTCACTCCATAACTTTTTTTTTTTATCCTTTTCCGTGTTGCTTTCCTGATTGCAGTGGCTTCTGTCCACTCAGAGATTGGGGGCCGGTCCTAAAGCCTCCCCGTTGAACCAATAGGGAATAGCAAGAGGCGGGTCGTCTGTGGTTGGGAAGCGCTGGATTTGCTTCTATGGTGTGTTTAGCAAGGCGGAGTTCCGGCACTGGGACTCATATTTTCACGTGGGAAATGTTTATTGTAAGTTCAGGACAGTCGACCTACAGTTTGTCTCTGTCTATGTATTCTTTATGCAGTGGGCTGCAACCTCTATGTCAGTCTTGAGCTTTAGAATGCAGTTCCAGGTCCATTAAATGCGTTTAGAGAATTGTAACCTTTCCTGCTCCCAGAACTGAGAGGTAGGAGACTTGCTGGAGGCGATTTGTTGCGCAATTCTGCCCCCTTGTGGTCGTAATAGCCAGTAATAGAGTCTGGCACCTCATTCCTAGAGTCTATGAGCAACACTGGTGCCACTACACAACTATAAATTCCTAATTCCTTGTAGCACAAAGACACACAGAGGTATTGTGCTTTCAGTACAATAACTAGACGCCAGAACACACAAAACCTGCGTATGTGTTTGTGTCCTTGTTTTTGTTGGTTTTACCAGTTTTTATGAGTTTTTACTTATTCATGTTACTGTGTGTTATTTTTGCTATTCTGTTTACTGTCTGATTAAGCAGAGCCAAATTTCTCATATGAGACCCAAAGAATCTGAACTTTACACTTTTGTATGCATATTAATTACAGTTTAATCAGTTAACTGTTAAGTCAGTGGTAGGTGTGAGAAAGACACCTGTTAATGTTATCGTTTCTGCTGATTTGTTAATTATTAACCTTCAGTAAACTTTCCAACTCACCTCTTCGGTCAGTGCCCTCGCAGGCAAACAGACAAAGCTGAGCCGTACTCTAAAAGCAGCTGATTGCAGCCCTGTTACTGTAATTTCTCAAACGCTGCTGCTGTTCCTTTATATTACAATAAGGTTGTAAATATGCGTTCACTTGAACATTGTGGCATCAGGTGTAAGGTAGGAAAACTTTTTACTTGTAGCAATTTGACTTCATGTCTTGCTTGACTTTTCAATTTTCAGTCACTTCACAGTTTTACTCTACACAGGGATGAACTTTTCAGGTGGGGATTTTTGAATTTCATCTGTTGAAATGATCTGCCATTTCTCTCATATGTGAAAAATGCCGGCTGCTCCTCATGGATGTAGCAACGACACCTCGCTCCCCATGTGCTGTAAGTTGTACACATGGCACTTGATGCATTGCAAACGTATGTTATCATTGCGTACCTTTCTTTATTTTGAACCTGCTTCTTTCCCTTCTTGTATAGATGAGGAGTCATCAGGTCTATTTGCTGTCATTATCATCCCTTGTCTGTTGGCTCTGAGCACGCTTTTGGTGGTGGCTCTGATTTTCTACAGTCTCCACAAGAACAAACGAAGAGCACAGAGCACCTCAGCCCATTTCACAAATGGTATGAAGTGCAATAACTGTATAAAAACACCCTCAGAATCAGTGAGACCAATGCCAGGTGCTAATTTATCTCTGGTTGTGTTTATGAGCAGGCCAACAGAGTGTATCCTTCACTGCAACTTCTGTAAGCACTTCAACGGTCCAGGCAGCTTTGTATTCCTGGGAAATCCCTGAGGAGTGCGTTCTTGAGGGACTAGAGTTTTGGCAGAGAGGTCACCATGGCCCCATTTGTAAAGGTCTGCTGAAGAAGAGAGACGGAGCCTTGTCTGCTGTGGTGGTGAAGTCCCTCCGAGGTACAGCCTGAATCTGTCATAATGGGAGTCCTCTGTGTGTAATGACAGTTAAAGTATGTTAAATAGGCTTTAAAATAAAGTTGTAATTATAATTAAAAAACGGATAATACGGTTGCTTTCTCTGTTATTATTTGACCCTCCGTTCATGTAACACATAGATGGCACCAACGAGCCTGAAGCTAAGGAGTTTGTGGAGTGGGTCCGCTTCCATGCCAAAGTGTGTAAACATGAGAATGTGGTGCAGATGCTGTACTGTCAGACCAAGCGTCCGCCCATGTATCTGGTCTTAGATGCCTACAGCCCTGGGAACCTCCTTCACTTCCTCTGGACACTCAGAAATGTAATGGTGGTACACAGCTTTGGTTTAAATTTAGTTTTCTAAATTTAGTGCAATCACAAGGAAATGTTTCTCCCTTCTAGAGGGATACGAGCATAGCAGATCCATCGCTGAACTTCTCTGAGAAGTCAGTGTTTCTGGTGGCAAAGCAGGTTGCAGCTGGGCTGGTGAGTCACTTTTTGAGTTACCAGTTATTCCAGACAAACAACTACACTAAAATGAACTCAATTTAGACACCATGCTCTACTGCAGATGCCATTCCGTACAATGAACTCATGTACTAAGGGAAAAGTGTTGAATTTTCAACCAAAGATTGATATGTGTGGTGTTAACTGGCTCCTCCCTCAGGATTACCTGATGTCAGAGCACAGGCTGGTTCATGGTGATGTTGCTGCCAGGAGCATCTTAATTGGCCCAGGCCTCTCAGCCAGGGTGTCTGGGCTGGGCGTTGCATTTGGAGGATGCAAAATGGATTCAGCAATGAGGCAGAGGGCAGCAGAGGTGCCTCTCAAATGGCAGGCTCCAGAGAGGATTATGATGCAGCTCAGCATCGACAGGAGCGACGTGTAAGGGCAGAGTTATGGCGAGGAAAATGAAAAACACAAAACAACTAGAATATGTTGTTTTGTCATCATCTCTTTTTGCTATTTCATGACTCCTGACTGAAAATGATTTTAGTATGAGTTAAAACATTAACACTGTCTTTTCCCTAGGTGGTCGTTTGGAATCTTACTGTATGAACTGATTACTTTAGGTAAAGCCGCATGCCCCAATCTGTCAGTATTTGTGCCTTTTCAGATTAGCTTCTTTTAAATGTCCTAATTTCTACAATCTGTACGATTACATCCTCACACATCATCGTCAGCATCACACATTGACATTAAAGTCACATTTGTTTCTTCAAGAATACTTCATTTGTTTTTTTGTCTCAGGCTCTCCTCCATATCCTGAGCTGGAGCCTCTGTCTGTGCTTCCAAAGCTACAGGGGTCTTATCGAATGAAGAGACCAGATAATTGTGGTGGACCTTTGTGAGTAAACTCGTAAGAAATAGGCCCACTTAACATGGAGTATTATACTGTCCCTTATGTAGCGTAAGCACATTTTCATTCACCGCATATTGATAGTTTAAGAAATAGACATTTTCGGAAATACACCTTTTTATCACTATTTTAATAAGAAGATTGATAAAACTCTCAGACAAATATGTGAGTAGTATCTTCTCGTCTGATTTCTACAAGAAAGAATACTCTGGGTATCCTTTATCACATGTATTTTACATTCATTTTCTATGCATTTAGGTATGATCTGATGAAGTACTGTTGGATGTGGAGTTTCAAAGACCGACCTGCTTTCTCGGCCATCATAAAGCTGTTGGAGTCCTCTCTGCATCTAGCGGCTACTAAAGCCATTTGTGTTCCTGAGGTCATTGACATATTGGAGTATAACAGAAAGGCAGGACTGCTCTCATAGGCTCATGTGCTACCAAATATGGCAACACCCACAAATAGGAAATATTAACATATAAAGTGTAATTATCTTTCAGACTGCAATGTAACATCCACTGAGTAGGCTATTGAATCTCTACCAATGAATTGGTTTATTGATAAAACAAACGAAAGCTATGTAACTTGATATGATGAATTAAACACAGCAAAAGCAAGTCATTTTATTACTACCTCTTTATTGTCAAAAATGTACAGACTTAAAAGCACATATCTTATTATCCATCTTCTGTCTTATTTTATCACCGGGCAAAGTTTAGTATCTGTAATGCTCTTGGCATGCATACATTACTGTGGCTTTAGTTTGAAAACCAAAACACCCACAAAGGAAAGCTGAATGCACTGCTGAATGTAGATTTGTGGTCAGTCTGCGTATGCACTTTACACTGTTGATTTTCTTCATAACATTGGTCCTCATAAATCATGTCAAGAACCACAGTGGGTTTCAATAAATATCAGACCCTGAAGACATGACCTTTTGTATCAATTATCATGATTTATGAAATTTTGCTCAGCCTGCTCAGTTTTTGCGACTCTGTGAGGGAGACTTATTTAGATAATCCATAAATTGACACCTCTGATTACATCTTCAAGGATTACAGTTTTCAGAACGTATGGAGGGAGTCGAAATTTGAATTAGGGGGCATCAGTAGCCTTTAGGGTTGAGATGTTTTTGCCTGTTACTCTGTGCTATTCTGAACAACGTCCTACAAGACTATAATCTTCCCATTTGTCACTCACTGTGCAGAGAGGCATAAATACAGAAAAACATCATGTGATGTCCTTGTTAAAAAAGGACTGAACTACAAAAAGTGATGTCCCTCAGACTGAATACTGGCCAAGTTAAATCAGGATCAGCTTTAAAGTCAGAATCAGCTTCACTGGCCAAGTGTACACATGTATGGAATTTGACTCCAGTAAGAGTAACGTCACACTTGCTCTCCTTCCTTGCACTCATAGAGTTTACGTTCCAGTGGTACATTTGTGAGTACAGTCAATATCAACCTAATAGTGCAGTGTTACAACACTTTTAAAATAACTACAAGGAAGTTTCATTTTGTGTTGATTTTGGCAGCCCCTGGGGACAAAGCGGTAGCGTTTCCACCACCTTGCATTGTAATCTTGATCTGGCTAGCACATGCAATTATTTTGGTTGAGAGTGAAAGAAAAATTATGATCCTGTCCCAGTGTCAGCCATAATCATGATATATAATGTCAAAATTAAACAAAAACCTCCTCCTGCTTCCTTTTAGCTGGCTAACGTACAACTCATTGCGAAACTTTGTCTGGGAAAATGTAGCCTCTACTGGTCTGCGTGCCATAAATTGTATTTGTCTGATTGTCTGATTCCTGATAAGGAATCGGACCCAGTGACCAGTGTTTTGACCAACCACTTACGTGTGTACTTGTGTGTTACAGTAATATATTTCTTTTACCAGAAACAAAGTAATATAAAGTGACGTGTTACCACTAGGGTTGGGTGATTGGACGATTACGTGTATATCGGTGTAGAGCCTAAATATTTTCACACCTTACTCTGTGAAACCAGAGTTTGTGATTCTTGGATTGGTGGACAGACTGACCAAGATGGTTTTAGTGAGTGTTATTTTGTTTCTGTCGTGTTCCAGAGGAGCGCCTTCATTAGGCTATACAATATAGCCCACTACTGGATTTGTAAAGAACTGCAATAAACTTGAGCTTTTGTGCTTTCATTTCCCGCTATGAAACAACATTACCCTCTTCCATCTTAGTCATACTCCTGTGGTAATGTAATTAGTAACCCGTTACTCTACAGAGACAGTAAAGTAATTTGCCCAACACTGCAAGTGACAAACATTTAGAATAATAATAACCATCTTCTCGCTTATCATTAGCTTCTGTAGGTCTCATAGAGGCATCAGTATTACATGGACACTGTTTCATAGCCAGTTAAAAAAACATCCTTGTAGTAACTTCAAGGTGGAGGCAGAACTTTCAGCAAGGTGAAAGTTTACCCACTAGATGGCAGAAAAAGCAGGATTTGCAGCCTGTGTGTTGTTGCTCTTTAAGGGTAAATTCAACCACATGAGGCAGAAAACTGCTGCTGCAGTGCTATTTATGGGTTGCAACATCTACTCATGTTAAATGTTGTGACTCCACATCCACCACTGATGTCACTGCAGGTGGTTTGACAAGTGACTGCAAACACCTGCAGTGACATCACTCATCCAGCTGTGGCCAGAGGAGTACTATGAGATGTGATGGTGATCCAGTGTAGATTTATTATTATAACTGCAATGCCTCTTAAAACAGAGGCAAACACATACAATGGCCCAATAAAATCACACATAAAGAAATATGTAAATCATTTCTTGGACAGAGTCACAACTTGGTAAAAAGCTTAAAGTAAAAAAAAATAAGTCCCAAATTCAAAAATCCAAGGTTGGGGTCCATTGACTTTCAATTCAACTCATTTAAAACATACATTCAAACAGCAAATCAAATAATTAGAATGACTGCAACATTGTGTGTTTCACTTACAAAATGGAAAAAGTGGAATATTAAAGGAAACCCACATCCTGAATGCTATGAAAGTGAAGCGACCCCAACCCTGACACAAACATTAACAGTCAATTAACACAAGACTGGTCATAGTGTTGAATGAATGCCGATTACTGTGTTATAGATAAGCCAGAAACAACAGTTTAAAATCTTGAAAATACTGCTGAGAAAGGCCTTACCCACATACCGTAGCACTCCAACAGCTACACATTAAGCTATGGTATGCTTTACGCTGTGGACATCATAATAAGAGTTATCATGTCCTGTGTGATCACAAAACTAAACATTTTAAAAACCAAATTAGAGGCAAACATATATTTGAAATTATGGTAATTATTTTGTTTGAAATCATTTCTGGTTATAGTATGTGCTCTGCTGCCACGTGTTCACAACATTGATGAAAAATTGGATTACTACGGAAGTAGAGGAATTATACAGGAGATAAACCTGATGAAAATTCAGTTTTTAGAACAAGCCAGTCAACCCCTGGCTCCAGTGAAAATGCTGCAAAGACATAGAACAGCATGAAGGTTAATCCTTACCAGTAACATTAAAATGTCCCTCTCGTCCCTCTCACTAACTCTATTCGATCTGGGTTCTGTCTTAGAGGTGTCACATCAAAATAAAGGTTAAATAGAGCAACTGTTCCCCTGTGGTGCATGAGCATGTTCAGCTTGGATCCTCCATGGCAGGAAGCCTCAGTTCACCCATACGGGCCAGAGGTAAACCTATTTAGGAGTTTGGGGAAAAGCCAGAACCCCTTTACACTTTACTGCTCCAAAGGGATGTTGGAAACAAAATGTATGAAACAGACCACAGCAGGTAGTACACACAGGCAGGGGGGAAGGAAGAGCAGAACAACATGACGACTCCTGAAAAAAAAGGAGAAAAAAAATTAAATTACATTTTTTTAATTTAGTTTAATTTGGAAAAATGAAACGACCAGTGTGTAAGATTTAGTGGCATCTAGTGGTGAAGTTTCAGACTGCAACTAACTGAACATAGCTGGCGTGTGTTTTCGACATCCTAGGGATGAGAATGGGCTGTGAAGTGTGTAGGAGAAACTACGGTGGCTACAAAACTCCTCAAAAATATGAAAGGCCCTATCTACAGCCACAGTTTGGTTTTTCCTTTCTGGGCTACTGCAGAAACATGTCGGACTTCATGGAAGGTCTGTAGATAATCCCATTCTAAGGTAGCGAAAACACATTTGATTCCTAGATTGAGATGATTATGCACTTGTGAAAACATACCTATGAATATTATATTCCATTTCTGCCAATAGATCCTCCTAATTGTTACACACTGGAGATATGAATCATACTGGATTTTTTACCTCCAGCATAGACTACTTTCTTCCAGGCCTGCGACTCCAGCACTCTGTCATGGGGGTAGAAGTTCTGACTGATCATAAAGAGGATCATGGCCATTGCAATGACCCGCAGAATGGCCATGTTTCCTCCTGACAGCAGAGAGGCACTGGCCAGGATGGCTGAGGAGTAGATGCAGGGCAGGCCGCGGTACATGAATGGGATCCCTGAGGACCAAACGAGAATAACTCTCCAGTAAGTCATTTAAATAATAAAGTTAAATGACAGACTCAAATGAAAAGAACATAGTACTACATTTTGTAACCTACCGCTTGTGAAGAAACAGAGGCGGACAAACACAGATAGGACATAACACATGCACAGGATGTTGTCCAGCAGGTCCGATGTCCTTAGGAGCAACGATGTGGCAATCCCGAAAGTCGTGAAGTCAGCGAAATCATCCAGCTTGGCACCTGAACATCAAAAAGAAAAATGTGAAAACTAAATGCCTCTCTGTGATGTGCATATGAATTGTATAGATATTAGGACTTGCTGACAGACACTACCCATGCTTGAAATATGAATCTAAATTCTGAATAGAAAGGCTACTAGTAAGCGCCAACTGTCCTATTATTAAACTTCTTTCAATTTGACAGTGCCTTAGTCATGGGTTAACATTCAATTAAAGCCAGGGTAGATATGTTATCATCTCTCCAGTAGGTCACTGCCAATGTTACTGACACGTGACGACGGTGGCATGCGTACGTGCAAAAATCTCTATGTGGAAATTTCAGTGTCAGCCCAACGGGCGGCCATTCTACAAACAACATTCTCCACTGCCTTGTCTCTTTATCCCTCAGGAGCACGGAGCATATTTTCAGCAGATGAGGACGAGGTGATTCAGGCCACTGCTCAAATGAACGAGGTGGAATTCCACAGCCCAGGGTCAACAATTTTAGCAATTTCAGATATGCTGAGAACCCAAAGCAACAGGATAAAATAGACAATTGGAGCATGATCCCGTGGAATTAGGCTGCTTAATCAGAAAGTGATTGTTCATTTGACAAAATACGTGGGGGGCACAACAACATCCACCTGCAAAGTCATGCAGAAAAACCCTGTCGGGAAACAAAGCCCCCTGAAATGTGCGGCCAACGATGTATTGTGATGCACCTGGGAGCTATTTTGGGCTTCAGAATAAATCTGAACTTTCACACTGGAAGCAATGTTAGAACAGCTGTTTGTGCCACTTGATTTACTACAGTGGTATGATCTTTTGAAAACAAGCCACAGTGGTACATTTTATATGTATTTGCATTGGGTGCCTGTTATTTGAGGCGGGGCAAGAAAGGTCATGCTGTTCACACTCAAATCTCAAAAGTGTTTAGCTTGCAGAGTCCTTAGACATATAAAAAACAGTTAACACGGCAGATTTGATGAAGCTCAAATTACATTACATTAAATATGTATGATTCTTCTCTTAGAAACTTTGTAAGACTATCCAGAGTATTTCAGTGGAAGAGTTTCCTTTCACTGGTTCCTTTTGTTTATGACTTCGTGCGGCCAAATTAAAAAGTCCAGACAAAGGACTGTGCAGCAAGCCCTGCCAACACCCCAGTTGAAGTTTATCTTTGGTAAGAGCTATTGAACACTCCACTTACCCAGTTCAGAGCAGGCACCGAGTCGCCTGGCAACTGCTCCGTCTGCCAAATCCAGCAGGTAGCCAATCAGAACCAGCCAACATGCAGCATGATGGTGCCTGAATAAAACGAGAGTTAGGTTTAGCTATTTGATGACAGCAACCCATTTCACTGGCAGATTCTCAAAGGTAGAAAATAGCTAGTGCTGTTAGACTTCCAACAGTTTTACAAATAAAGTTTTAAAAAAAAAAAAAGTTCTTTCTCTGATAGTGAATTATCCTCTTTAGCTCGGGTTTCATATTGATATTTGATTTTCTTATCAATGCTTGCCTATGTTTCTTTACACTATGGTTAGTACTGCTCATCTAGGAAGTACAGAAAACTGCATTATAAATGAATAAGCATAACTGAATGTACAGTGGCCCTGAAGGGCAAAATACAACAACATGATGAAAAAAGGATTAAGAATGAAAACATTTTTTTTATTATTATTATTTAAATTTCTTATTTATGTTGCTGTGTTTTATGTTTTGGTAATATGTTTTCTAAAATGTTGTGTTTTGTTAATTAGTTTTCTCTTATGTTGTTCGAATGTGTTTTCGAATTTGTTTGTGTTTTGCGAAATGTATTTTGGTGTTTTCTAAATTTGTTAATGTGTTTTTTTGGCACACTGCTGTGTTTTCTATGTTGTTAATATGTTTTTTTAAATGTTGTGTTTACTTTAATGGGGTTTTGTATTGTAAAATTTTGTTCGTCCAATGTTACATTTGGTTTTAAAAACCTTAGCCAAACCCTTAATTTTCATTGAAATTACTTTTTGGGATTTTGTTTGTTTGTTTTTAGTGAAAAAAAAAAGATTACAATGATTACAACCAAGCTATAGACTTTGTCCATCCTGCAGTTGAGTGAGCCTGACCAAAGTTTCAGATAGTAACATCGAATAATGGTGCGTTCACTCACCCGTTAAGACTGCTGAGAATGGAGGCCATGCCCATGACCATGTTGGCAACTGACAGAGCATTAGCAGCATTTTTACGTGCAAACTCCTTGATCTGCAGTCCTGTGGCCTGATCACTCAGAAAGAACTTGTTGGTACACTGGAAGAGACCTGAGACCACAAAATAACAGCAGTTAGTAGTTGTCTGTGTTGGGTCAATAACCTCTGCTGAGGTTTAAGAAGCTAAAGCTAAAAGCTAAATCCCTACTATGATTGCGAGACCATACCAGCTGACCTTTTGGTGAATAGGTCTGAATGGGAATAGTTTACTAATTATATCCCAGCTTCAGTCAAACCTCAGTTGTACAGAGAGGACAAATGTGGAAAAAAAGTATGAAAGTAATCATAATACTTTACCAGGCATAACTGAGAAATAAACCATCTAATGGGAATCCATATTGTGTTTTTTACTGTATTCAAAATGTGCAAAATATTCATTTGAAATTGATTCCCCCGTCTTATGTAAAAGAAGCATCACTTACCAAGACGTACGTTTATTGGACGGAGACCAACCTTACGATACATTCATCCACTTTCAGATCACTAAAATGCATTTGTCATGTACATTTATTCATTCGCAGCCTACAGCATGCAACATTAAAGAGTGCCTCATCATCATCTACTCATTACATTATCAGTTATTTCTATGCAATAAACATATTACACATATTTTAACTGTGACAAAAAAAACCTGCCACAATGACATGCAGTAAACTTTCATATATATAGCTAATATTGTGTCAAAAGAATGTCAAAAAGGATACAATGTCTGAAGAGGATGCATGTGAAGTGCACTCAATTGTGATCTTAATCAGGGGGTAAATACACACAAATACTGGTGTGGGGAACAGTATGAATATAGGGGACTACCACATACACCATTGGCTATAGTGAGAGTGAGTTGGACCTACTGCACTGACACATACCAGACGTGAGATCAATTAGCCTGTTATCTCTGATCAAACGTAGTGACCTGAGACAAGGACGTGGCAGCAGCACTCACATAGCTAACTGTTCAAATCTATTAATACCACTGCAGCCAAGGCTTTAAGGGTGATTGTGGCATACAAATAAATCTACAACCTCTCCTGGTCTGCCTTTCTTTATAACAAGCAGTTTACGTTATTAAACTGCATGAAATCATACTGAAAAAGTTTTATTAAGCTTTCTGTTTCCTCAAAGTGCACAACGTTATCTTGATATTGTTTATTTGTTTTGAAGACAACATTTCCAGTGTAAAGGACAGTAAAAACTACCTCTTTGTCAGCAAGATGGAATGACTGCTGACACTGCCTCGCTCCAGCCAAAAACTGCCTCTGCCCCCACAAAGCTGTGATGTTTTTTAATGAAGTCAAACAAAGAAATATTTGTTTCCTGTCGGCCTCCTTTCTTGTGAATTTATTACTTTGTCTCAAGTCATAGTACTGTCCAAGACAGAATGCACAGATAATGACCTGCAAAATTTAAATATTTTTTAAATGTTGCAGTAGCAACCCTTCAAGTGTTTTTCACCCTGAACTTCCTGTGATTCCAAAGCCAGGCGAGTTCAACAGACTCTTCATCTGAAAGAAAACATCGTATGAGACACAGCAAAAAGCCAACAATAACTTACACTTTTACTTGATAGCATGCGTTTTACTTCTTATTTTGGACTGTAACACAAGGTACAACCTGGTATTTGAATTACTATCTGAAAACTTTCCATGGGTAAACACATCAGTCAATGCAGATAGCATGCTGCATTTTTTGACAATCATGTAATTGCCAAGTTTGCTAAATGAATAATCAGGTTCATTCACTTTTGTCACAGTAAATAAATACTACTACAAAGCAACACGTGCAGCTCCAAGTGAATAAAAGTGTGTGGGGTTGCAGCTCTTGCGGTCAAGTTTTACTCAACTTAACTACTTAATACACTGTCTTGGTCACTAATAAAAAAAGAGGATAAAGCCAGAGCCAGACACACTGTCAATTTCAAGCAAGTCTTTATTTCTGGATTGCTGCCTTGTGAGTGCAAAGCATGATGGGAAGGCCCTTGTTATGTAATGCCCTGCTATGTTACCTGGTAACGACTACAGACTAAACTATAAACAAAGTAAACAATTCATAACAGGGATAATCTCAAGTGATCTAACTGAACAAGATAAATTATTTACATTTTAAACCTGTTAATTTTGTTTTGTGATAATGAGATATAGTGAAAAATAAATGGCAATTAAATTGCAGTTAATTATAAATAATGCACAACAGCCATACAACATTTACTCCTATACATTCTATTGGGTGTTGTTTGTGAATCTGTAATGTAATTTCACCGTATACTAAGATGAGCAACTGTCATATCCAACAACACTAAAACATTAAACCCATCCCAGTTTATTTATCACAAGCATTTTTAAAACTCCCTCAGCACAGCAGTGGCTGTTCTCCTTCCTAATTTGATCCACGCAGACTTCGTCTGTAATCTCTGGCACCCATGGCCGTGCAGGTATACAGTAATCCAGATTATGACATGAGATTGCAAAACAAGTACCTACCAGAGGATGGAGTCAGGAGGATCATGATTGTCTCTGGCTCACAACACAACAGCTGTAAGATACAAATGAAAAGCGCTTACATTACATACACGACGTTGACAAACACAACCATTTTAAGCATATAAGATACATTTTGACGAAGAATTAAAAATAAAAATTAACTACATCATCATCCCACAAACTTAATCTCAAATCTTAATAAGATTTAATGGGATTATTTTTCGGAAAGTAACTAAGTACATTTACTCAAGTGTACTGTACTTAAATTTTAAGGTGCTTGTACTTTATATTTAGTGTTCAAGTATTTCCATTGTCTGCTACTTTATAGTTCTACTGCACTACAATACAACGGTCATTGTACTTTTGACTCCACTACAATTATTTGATAACTTTAGTGTACAGATTGAGATTAATAATACAAAATATAATCAACAAATATCTGATGATGACGTATTGTTATTGGAGGTACATTCATTAAAATCAACCCCACCTTTACCAGCTGCAATATTAAAGTGATGTACACAGGAATGCAACATAATTATGATCTAATACTATAACAGACATTATGAAACAACTGTTGGTACGTAAGTATATTTTGACTCAAATACTTGACGGTACTTTTACTCAAGTAACATTTTGAATTACATTTTCAACAACATTGTGGTATTGATACATTTACTTCTAGTACTTTTTCTGTTTCCTTAAAGTAATGCTTCTCTCAACTGCGTCACTTTCAAAAACTGACTTGTTAGACATGTTGTGGATTTAATAGCTGGACAGTCACATTGTGGCTGAATCAGTAATTAACGTTTTGGTGTGGGTCGTGGGCGTTAACAGCAGCCCATCTTTGCCTGTCTCTCATGTCTCACTACTTAATTATTGAAAGCATACAGGTAAAATCTCAAATACACAAGGGGCTGTATGCTGCATAAATTCAGCCATGAGTGTTCTTTTTTTATTTTGTTTTTTTTTTTTTTGCTTCCCAAATTGTTCTTGATTCTGATTCGTGTTTCTGCTTCCAAAAACCACTTGCTGCACTTTACAACCGCTGAGCGGGGGCCTTAATGCGCAACGCTCTATCCTCAGCACAGTCCTCTATACGTTACTGCAGCGCCGGACAGCCGACATCCCTCTGTACAAAAAACATCACCAGAGGCATGAAAATAACAGTCAACTGATCTAGACAGGTTACAGTGTGGATCTGACTAACATCCCATCCTTTTCGTAAAAAGGCTGGGATGAAAGTGGCGAAACTGCGTCACAGCCAAATGAACCGAAAAATGCAAAACAGGCCTATATTTTGTCCTAAAACATTATTTTTACATTATTCTCCATCATAGGCTATACGTATGAAGATACATCTACCACACACACATTCAGTGCGTCTCATCTTACCTGACAGGATCTCCAAAGATTACAAAATCTAGATAAATCCAGTGGTGGAGACGTCTACACGCTCACGTATACGCAGGATCTTATTTTTCGTTCTCTTTCTTTTCTTTTTCACGCAGACTGGTCTCTGTTTTTGTCTGTTAACTGTCTTGTGTGTTTGAAGTTGCTACGCTGTCAATGGAACATGCAGAACATCAGACTGTTTACCTGTCGCTATTTCAGCGCGTCCGTTTTAAGACCAAGGATAAACCAGCTGGAATATTCCACCGGAAATGACGCCTCCATTGCTTGTATTTTTTTTTTTTTTTTTTTTTTTTTTTTTTGTGTGCAACCATTATATTGTTGGGAAATTCTTTGATGGCTACCGCTGTACTGGAAGGAGTATTCGGGAAAAAAGTACTAGGAATGTGTGGGGCTCGAATAATTACGCAAGTAGGAAATTGTCTTTTCCTTAGAACCCAGCCTTCATTTTTCATTCATACAAACAAAAGCTGTTGTAATAAAACAAATTATCCCTAATCTGAAATGAATACAACAAACTTCTATTATAGTTATTATTAATGTAAGGTTTAGAAGTGGAGTGAATTCATATTTGAAAGTTGTAAGGCTCAGAAGTTAATAAAATTTATATTTGAGTTAATTTACTAAAAATGTATTTACAATGTTTAGTCAGTTACATATTTATGTTACACAATTATTATTTACACATTTACATGTTTACATATTTAAAACAGTCAGGATATTCTGTTTAATCTGCCTCTCTCGCAAGTTCATCAGAAGCTTTGCACATAACAGTGTCCCCCTACACGCACTCACAGAGAAGAATGCACCTTTCCAATGGACTTTTCAATGTCACAAACCCTCCAGTGGTTGCATTCCCTGACTTTACTGTGCCATTCTCCGTCTACAAAGATGCTTCATGCTCTGCTATTGGTGCTGTGCTTGCTCAGAGGCAAGGAAATCAAGAATAAGTGATCGCTTATGCTAGTCATGTCCTCACAAAAGCAGAAAGAAAATGGTCAACATATAACAGAGAACTCTGGGCCATTGTCTGGGCCGTGGGACATTTCCGCCACTACCTTTATTGTCACCGACCACAAATCTCTCCTGGGTCTCAGAAAAATACCCATTGACAATGACAGAACTGGTCCTTTTGAATGGACTGTAATTCACAAGGATGGCCACAGTCACCTCAATGCAGATGCAATGTCACGTCGCCCTGCTGACATCAGACCAACGGAGCAGAGCACCTTCTCCAGTGCTCCTGGTAATCCACACTCTGACAAGAGACGTTCTAGTCCAAGTCCTGTAAGTCTGTCTAGTCCTGTCACTTCTGTACATCACAGCTTCTGCAGTACCGATACAAAGCCACTGTGCTACTGGCCTTTTATGTCACGTGACATCAAGATGTGGTGCAAGCAGTGTACTCCGTGTGACGCAAGACGGAGTCCCACACCTCATCAGGGAGCTCCAATGAAAACTACTACTGAGCCATTCTTAAAGGTTGCAGCTGACACTACTTGAGCTCTCCATTACAAGTCGTGGAAACAGGTATGTGCCTGTTGTCCAAGATTATTTCTCCAAGTATGTCAACCTCTATGCCATTCCAGACCAGCGCTCCAACAGTTGCAAAATGTCTGTTTGAAAACTTCATCTGTGAACATGGCATCCCGGAAATGCTTCACACTGATCAGGGACGTCAGTTTGAGTCTGACCTGGTGAAACATCTGTGTGAACTGCTGGGCGTGCAGAAAACACGAACCAGCCCATATCATCCTCAGTGTGACGGCATGATTGAGAGATTCAACAGGACACTTATTGATCAGTTAGCCAAGACACTTCTTCAACAGCCTGGTGAATGGGATGACTACCTCAACCAAGTTGCTTTGACTTACAATACCAACCCTCACTCTACAACAGGTTTCACACTATTCTTCCTCTCACATGGTCATGAAGCCAGGATGCCTGCCAACATGCTGTTACCTAACAACACACCATCATCTTCATCTACTACAGGTTCTCCTGCTGACTATGTTGCACAATTGACGCAGAAACGTCAGTCCGCTTTCAGTTCTGCTGCATAGAACAGATTGTTGCCCACAATCAGCAAAAACAACAGTATGACAAGAGTGTTAAACACACTCCCTATGTTCCTGGAGACCTTGTCTGGTTAAATGACCCCACCACAGCAAAAACTCGCTCCTCACTGGAAAGGCCCCTTTGAAGTATTACAGTGCCTTGGATCTGATGTGGATTCTCCTGGGGTGACGTACAGGATTCACTACCTCCTGGATCAGTGTGATAAGTCCCAGATTGTCCACTACAACTGTCTCAGACCCTACCATGCTCCTGTGCCAGATCGTGGACATAAGACACCTACTTGTGACTCTTTGCAGTCTCAACTCCCTCGTTTGACTGCATTGTCAGGTGCTTTGCCCTTTAAACCTTCAAAGTTGACAGCCACAAAGAGCTACAACTTATCTGGCCACAGCAGTACTCCCTCATTAGCCCCTCCTACTGGGCATCCACGACCCCGACCACAGCCCCAATCCCACTCCCCCCTGACTCAGTCTTGGTCTGCCCCCCCCCTCTGGCCGAGTACGGCAGTTTGACACTGTCCCCTCTTCCACTCCTCAAGGTTCTGGTTCCTCGCTACGCCCTGGGAGAAGTCCAGTTAGACCTCCCAGATACCTTAGAGACTATATTCTGAAGTGAAACTGTTGCTTTATTGTTGTTGTTTACAGATACTTGTTTATTTACTTGTTTGCTTATTTATTTTATGAGAAACAGGGACTTTGTTTGTGGGAGGGGGAGGAAATGTAAGGTTTAGAAGTGGAGTTAATTCATATTTGAAAGTTGTAAGGCTCAGAAGTTAATATAATTTATATTTGAGTTAATTTACTAAAAATGTATGCACAGAGCATCACTGTATGTCCCTGTAAAATGAATACACAATGTTATTAGCCTAAAATATTTTCAATATTTCTTCACTTTTCATTTCATATTTGTTTTTTACAGACTCATGATTACCTAAATGATTGCAATGCACTTCTGCACCCATAATAAACTGTCTTAGATCATAATAAATCACAAGTGAGTGGATATGGGTGTGTGAATCCAAACAGAAGTGACTGGGAATCCACATGTTAAATGGAATGTGGCAGGTAAACGGTACAAGCAAGCAGGTTTTGATTAGGGTTTAGGTTAAAGTTCAAGCTCAGGTGGCTAGAAAGCGAAGGCCTCTGGCATCCGACTGGGGAATGGATGCTAGAGTAAAAGCTGACAGGGTGACTGGAAAATGAGAAACAGGTCAGCAGGTGGATTCGGGTGACTGGTGGGACAGTCTAAGGGCATCTGGTGGTCGGATGGACAATGCAGGGGCCTGGGGAAGTGGGAATGTGGCTGAAGGGAGGGACAGAGGGGCAGAATGGGCAAAACAGGACGGAGGCTGCATGTTGTGACATAGTCAAGTCTTGAGCAAAGTCCAATACCGGTAGTAAAGTCAGACCATGTTGTGCTTACTGACATCCAAATAATTAATTATTAAGCTCCAATTGTCTAATTTGGCTGGTGTTTTTAAGAATTATTACCTTTTTTTAATCTAAAAGTTCTGGGGATCAGTGGAAATGCCACTTTTCACATTATAGTTTAATAATTAACTATAATAAGTAATCATTATATATTATTTTCCCTGGGAGGGATAATAGAAATATTTCATCAGGCTGATACGTAATGAGGCCATTGATACTTTAAAATGATGTCACATTTCTTTACAGTTTTAATTATTCATGGTGTCCAACATACTGCCACTATTACCTACATGTTCCCTTTGTTTTAAACCCAATATTCTTTTGCAGTAGTGGAAGAAGTATTCAGATCACTTACTGATGTACGTATTCCTCAAAATGTACCAAAGTATCAAAAGTAACAGTACTTGTTGCGCAGTAAAATGGTCCCTCTCATTGTTTTACTATTATTCTGAATGTTATTGGATCAATATTACTGCTGCATTATAATGTGTGTGTTGCATTTTACTGATGTTTAAGGCTGAGCTTATTTTAACTACTTTCTATTCTGTTGGGTAGAAATACGTGAATTTTCTCATCCTTCAATTTATCGTAGACATTCAAAATCAACATCAACATCTGCAGATACCCGGTTTCCACTGGACAGAAAAGGTACAAAAATTGTAATCTAAAAAAGTAAGCTGTCAGGCAAATTAAGAGGTGTAAAAAGTACAATATTTTCCACTGAGATGTAATGAGGTGGAAGTATAAAGTTGCATAAAATGGAAATATTCAAGTATGGTACAAGTACCTCAAATTTGTAGTCTCCTTGAGTAGATGGATGCAGTTCCACTGTTCTATTGCTAAGTTAATAAATGACTTCATGTTACCGGATGATCGAATTAACTAGGAGGTGAAACTGCTGTTACAGTTACACATACATTTTATATCAGTATATTAGTTAGCCATGAATGAAGAACAACACATTTTAGTGTAACATGCAAATGTTTTCCTATAAGTTGATTAAGTGTCAATCTCAGAACTGTATCTATATGTAAAGGGGTTCCAGTAAAAGTTATTTCATTGGTGAACTAAAGAAATTTCTAGCACTGTGGGCTGACCTCCTTCTGTCTTTAAAGGTACAAGGTGCACCTTCAGTCCCTGTTTGCTAATTCAGTTCATTAAACAGATTCACATGAGCACAGATACCACACTTAGACACTCTTCTAAGCCTCAGTGTCACATGACCTGATGTTTGCAGTAAAAACATTAACCCTTGTTTGGCTTGTATTAACCACAAGGCTGAATGCTATCTTGTTATCTGTTGATATTCAGGTGTAATTCAATAACAATTCTGCTCACTGAAGTTTTGATCTGTAAATTTACTCATGGATATGCATCATCCAACTCTAATTGTAATGAACTCACAGACATCCTATTTCTAAGGAAGTGGCCCTCTTATCCACAGATGTATGAAGACTGAAATAAACAGGGTTAGAAGGGTTACTTTAAAAATTTAATCGGATACAATTTCTAATTAAATGTTAAAAAAGGTAGTCAGTAACCTAATCCAAGTATCACAATATTAAAGTAATGTAACTTGATTGCATTCTGTTACTTTTGGATTACCTCAACAACAAGTATGTAAATAAAAACAAGAGAAAAGAAATATCAATAAGTAGTATGGATGCAAATGTATTTAAGACAACAGAACAATGTTATCTGTGAAAAGAAAATGGAAAGATTTTTAGCATCAAACATGTGTCATCTGCTCAGTGTATTTTTAAAGAAAACCTGATGTATATTAAAATTGTAAGCCTGCTAAATAATCCCCATTTTTGCTAAATGTAACTGTAATCTGATTACGTTTTTTTATGTAACTGCAATGAATAACTGTTTTCTGTTTTTTTGTATCTGGATTACGGTACTCAGTTACATGTAATCCGTTACTCCCCAAGTCTGGAAATAATTATACAGTATACATTAACAAATGCTAAATATGATGTTAGCTGATGATTTAACATATTGTCTTAACAGTTACTAAATGTCCTGCACCAACAGTAAATCCCCTAAAAAAGTGTTGACCACTGATCGTTTACAACAGAGCAGAAATCCAGTGGGCATGTAAAGCGGATCTTGTAGTCTTCACAGTGTTTTCCACCGGGCTGCTCAGCATTCACACAGGAAAAGCCACGAGTAGCGTCATATCTGCAACATATATAATAAGTAAACTATTAAAGGGGCACTCCACTCATTTTTTACACATGAATGTAAATTCACTTGCCATAAGTAGATAACATCTCAGTCTGAAAATCCATGGGTGGAGCACATATTTAAAAGAATAGTTTGACATTTTGGGAAATACAACAGACATACTCCATGTCTGTACAGTCAATATGAAGCTACTGCCAATAGCAGGTTAGCTTAGCTTAGCATAAAGACTGGGACAAACAGCTAGCCTCTGACAAAAGCTAAACTGGGTTTATGTATTCACACTCAGTCTCGTTGCCTGTCCTATAACTTACACTTGAAAGACATCACCAGTCTTGTGTGCAGGGACGCCAGACACTGTCATGGCTTCAATGGCCACAGGCTGGGAGCAGACCTGACTGGGATATATCAGCTGCACCCGGAGGAGGGTCTCATAGTCCCCCTGCCCTGTGGGATTGTCCATGTCGAACCAGCGTGTCCTACAACCTGCCAGTGAAAAACATTAAACAAAATAGGCATATGGAGACATTGACATCAGATTCAGATGTTTTAATTGGGTTTTACAGGTTGTGATATTTGTTTTTGTTTTTATCATTTTATACATCTATAAGGCTCATATGTTTGTTCTTGCTGTAATCCGCATTTTTCTTTTATGTTTTCTCAAAAATCAACACCTTTATAAAATAAAATCACAAGACTAGTTGTAGGAAAATGAGTCCTACCTGTATGAAAACTTACCCTGACAGAAATCTGAAGGACAGGTCAGTATCACTTGATAATCCTCACATTGTTTACTCCTCTGTTCTTTATTGATGCATGCAAAGCCAAAAGTAACATCATAGCTGGAATATAATAAAGAGCAGAATTAAACACTTATTATGAAAGGTTGTTTGAATGAAAAAAAGCCACATCGTACCTCTATATCTAATAACAACTTCACATGCTTACGACAGGTAGGTGTCTCCAGTGCGTAGGGCAGATAGTCCACTTGCTGTCTTGGCCTCAATGCTGATCGGGTTTCTACAGACTTGACCCGGGAAAGTTGTCAGTAACCGAAGTATGGACTCCACATCACCCTCCTCTGACGGGTTATCACTGTTCAGCCACTGAGTTCGACACTGCTCTGACACTGAGTGGAAATTACAAATGGATACATGTTTGTTAAAACTGTATTTCAGCAAAAGCAAGAATGTGTTTTGTTAGGGACTGTATGAAAATTATTGGGAAGGAGGGTATTGTTTTTGTCTTACTTTTTTGAGTGGAACATTTTTACTTTCTTATTTAGATTTTATTTCAGCCTTGGACTAGTATGTTATTACATTCCGGTGGTAGAAGAAGTACTCAGATCTTTTACTTACTTAACTACTTCAGTAGAAGTATACAAGTATTAGCATCACAATATACTTAAAGCACCAAAAGTAAAAGTACTCATTATGCAGAATATATAATATTTATAATAAACATTTTTGGAGGACCTACACAGTACCTTCACAGAACTCTTTTGGACAGGTAAATCTGACTCTGTAATCTTCACAAGTCCGGCTTCCCTGATCTGCATTTACACAGGCAAACCCATAGGTGGCATCATAACTGCAACAGAGAGGAGAAGAAGGTGATGAGTGAAGCCGCTCGCCCCTCCCATTAATTCTATTTGTTTTAATTTTGACTGATGTTGTCACTCACTTTAGAAAAGTATCGGAGGTGTTGGAGGCAGGCTCTCCAGAGATGGTCTGGACCTCAATGGCTATTGGCTCAGGGCAGAGTTCTCTCGGGTATATGTTTAGGAAGTCACTGAGGACCTCATAGTCTCCATTTCCTGTTGGGTCATCATGATCAAACCAGCGCGTCCTACACTCTATAAATAAAGAGGAATCAAAGAAACCTGATTTGCCTGCATGTTAATATGTATTGTTAATAAAAAGGGAGCTCAGCCCTACATATTACTCCTTGAAATAATACTGTATATTTTTTTGTTGTACCACATACCTGAGCAGAACTGTCCCGTGCAGGTGAACTTGACCTGATAATCGTCACACTGTCTCCATTTCTGTTCTGTGTTAAGGCACAAAAGGCCCTCTGATGCACTGTAGCTGCAAAATACAATCATTCCATCCTAATATTACACTTGGCTTGAGTTCATTTTCAAAAGTAATTCATGTTAGTGTGTATTGATTCCCTTTGGAGGGACATCACTGAAACTTAATGGTGGGCCGCAGGTCAAAAGTAAACACCTACTCTATTGTATTGTTAAGATGCAAAATGACACTAGGATCCGAAGTTCCTGTAATATCCTAACTTCCTGCACAAAGTGTCACTCTGCTCACCATGCTCAGATCTTGAAAAAATATTATTAATTAAGGATTCTACATTTTTAAAGAACACTTTACCTTGTGCAAAAACACAACAGCTATTGATATTTAAAACATTTAAAAATTGCTAGAAACATCTGCATCATCTAACCATATGGCTTTTTGGCCTACAGGCCCCACTTTTGCCAGCCCTGCTAAAAAATGTTAAATTTTTTATGAACCTAAACAAGTATTTATGGCCAGTGCAAAATATTTGCACCTGTTTTGTCCTTGTCGAGTTGTTTTGGAATATACTAATATCACCCAATATCTTAACAACAGTACAACATTGTTGTGAAGACTACAACAACTCAAATTGTGTTTTAGGAACATACAAGTGTAAATATCTGAGAGACAAATAAAGTCTAATTATTTTAAGAAATACATTAAAAGCATGTAAAACAGTCTGTAAATTAGATTTTTAGATCTAAAACATGATTAAATGTTTTGTTCGATATTAATAAAAAGAGGGAAAGAAAGAGTTCTTGACTCTGACTTTTGCACCATATCATAAATCCTCAATCACATCTCCCTGACATCAAATCAGTAGTGGAAACGTTAAGACTTTACGTGTGGAAGGTGTTCCTGGTGTACTGCGACTTGACTCCAGCAACCGTCTGAGCCTCCATGTCTACTGGGTTGGAGCAGATCTTCGTCCAGTGCTTCCTTCTCAAGTCACTCAAGAGCTCTGAGTCCCCATATGTGGAAGGATCCCCTTCATCCAACCAGGCTGTCTTACAGGCTGTGAGAGGGAAAGGTTAGATCTCAGCAATCTGCTGGGCATTAATGCTTAATTTCTCAATTGATTCAGGCAAACAATAATACAGGGCTTACTTTCCAACGCAGTGGCAAAAATCTGAAGGTCTGATGGAACAAGATCAGTCTTTGATCAGTTATCGTTTAGTTTTCTATTTCTGATAAATTATTGTGTGCATGGCAAGAATAAATTAATGAATCGTTAATTATATTACCTGATACTAGAAGACACCAAATTACAAAGCTCTAAAATAAAGTTCAAAGAGAAGACAAATAAATCACTATTATGAAATACCTTAATGAAATACACAACTTTAATCAGTTGGAAATAAAGTCAGAGTACCTGAAAGATCAACATGGTTTTCTAACTAGTGATCTTAAGGAGAGAAAATATTTTTTAAAAATCCAGTGAAGTGAAAATAAAATGTCCTTTGGATGTTATTCAGAGTTGGTCTCATGTGAAGAAGAATCTGTTAAAATCCAACCAAAAGGGTTGGGCAGCCTGTTGTATGTCAATCTCTCTGTATTCCTGCTCCTCCCACAGAGGTTGAGCCTAATATTATTTTTCAGTAACATGTAACCCTCTATGTTATGTGTTGTTGTGTGGCTTATCAGTGTATTGTTAGTGTTGTATAATGTCATTTTCTTCCATAATGGATATTCTGTTTAAATGCAAAATGATTGTTGATTTTTATTCATAGAAATGGTGGCATTGTGTCTCTGCCTCCTAAATGCATCAAAAAAATGTATATCTTAACAAAAACATATCTTGCTTTTAAATATCTCTATCACCAGGATACCAAAGTAAATAAAAACCTACAGCATGTCCTATAAACTTTATTTTACACAAAATCTATAAAAAGGGTTACACAGGGTAATTGTTTCTCATTCTTTGCTATTATACATAAAAGCATCTGTTTATTTATTAATTAATATACATTCATTCTTGGTTTTTGAACCAAATCAATGTAGATTTTGTTTTACTGGGTGAAAGGTTTACTGTCTTTAAACAATATACTTAGTTACTCTCTTTTTTCATGAAGCTTCTGACTTGTTCCCGATGCTGAGCATTGAGCCAACATAACAAATCCTCCAGATCAGCAGTGTGTAAATGAACAAATGATGCACACTTGTGTAAGTCACTCCAGTTTGAGGGCAGGGGGATTTCATCACAATCCTTGAGGCTTGGAAAGAAAGAGCAACTTGATCACACTCTTCCTATGTGAGCTTGACAACCATGTTTGCAAATATCTATAAGTATCTGTTAGGCCACCTAATGGATTCAGTACTGTGTGTGCTGAAGGGATTAATATAGAACCTATGAACTAAAGAAAACAAAACAAAGTAAAATGATGATGATTTTAACTTGTTTCCGTTGTCTGATAGCAAACTTGAAGACTTGTGTCTCCCTGCCATTCAATTGAAAAGGTCAGAGAGTCACCGCCCAGAGTGTGTCTTTCTTATGCTTTAGGCAGGTAAACTGTACCTGCACAGTGCGGACGAAAGCTAATCTGTTGAATGTGACTATTGAGTTTCCATAGACAACAACTCAGGTGTTGACCAAATAACCCCAGGCCCTGCTGTTAAATGTCAGTGAAAGAAAAGTATATAATAGCCAGGATTGGTGTAGAATAACTGTTATATGCATGATGCAGCACATCCAGAGGCTAGAAAATTATTATTTTATTAAGTGACCACAGGATTTCATTGTGATGTGATAAAAGGTCTAATGGAATTTCTTGGAATGGAGACTAAATGATTCAAGTGTCAATATTATGTTCACATTGTGTTTATTTTCAATTATGTTCCAAATGTTGGCCACATTTCGAATGGGATCTCATTTCTACTGTGAATGAATTTTAGGATCACAGCTCAGACAATGACACACAGCTGGACATGAGGGACTGTGCATACAGTAATTCAGCTGTGTTGAAGAAAGGAGGTCAGGGAGATGATTTTAATTCAGTGCGTCAGGTTTCCTAAACACTACTAACGGGCCTTAACTGAGTTTCCCTTTACTTATTTAGTGATTTTACTCTAGAGATGCTTGAAAAGTCTGCATTGTGTTTTATTATCTGGGCTTTAATAAATAGCTCATGGTGGCTTAAAGGCATACTCTGGAGATTTAGGGCACAATAGGTTAGTGACCTTTAAAGATTCAAATTAACAAAAGAATTGTCAAAATCAAAGCAGTAGAAAACAACACTTTTAATCCCTAATATGTGTTAAGCTCCAAAAACACTTCATCCTAGACTTCTCATAATGGAATTTAAAAACAGCACAGCCCACTTTGTAGCATGAAGCTAATTCTTGTTGGCTTATTGCACTCATTAAGCTAAATATATAAGTTGTTGGCACAGAGAAAAGAAAATCCTACAAACCCATGACATGACATGACAACAGGACACGTTTACCTTGATTCTACAGATCTCAGTTGAGGAGGCACAGAGCCTGAGAACTACTTCCCAACCACATAATAAACACAAACAAAAAAAAAACATCCACTTGGAGAAAAAAAAAAATCTCAGAAGTACTTTAATAATTAAAAAATATACATCTTAAATAATTTTTTTTTTAAAGTAAAAGATGGGTATGAAACAAAACTCTACATAAAGCCTGCAGGCAGAAGGTAATCGTTAGGAGACTCTTAATGAAAGACACTTAAACCTGCCGCAGGTAGCAAAGTGGAAAGCGTTCGGGTTTCAGTTCCACGATACTCAAAATAACTTTCAGTCAGAAGGAACAGAGACAGCAAAGAAAAATGTCTGTCGGCACTAACTTGAGGAAGGTTCAGAACGCTGTGAGTGCACCGTTCCCCACCTGTCTTATGCCCTAAAGAATGGGCGTTGTCACAGCCTGATTGGCCAAGAGGGGAATGCACCAAGCTGCTCTCAGTCATTGTTGAGGAGGCAACCCTGTGCGACAGGTGATCTGAATACGCCTCCAATCAACCCAGAAGACTTTTGACATTCAGCTAAAATGATTTGAAAGAAATGTGTACGAAAGAATGAGGGACTGCTACAGTTGATACTGTAATTTGTGTCATGCAGAAGCCTCTCCGGGCTCAGTCCCTGCTGCCCATAATCAGTTTGTAGGCTACTTCTCGACATTTTCTGCCTCATATCTTCCAAGAATTATCAACAAAATCAAGATTAGCTGTTTCTGTGTAGGTTAACACCATGTACATAAAAGGTCAGATTCAGTTCTACCCAAATGCTATTTAATCTAAGCCTTTCCACCCCAAACCACACTACTGTAAACTTGAACATGTACATCTAGAAGAGAGTATGTAAACCATATGCTAGAGTACTACCTCAAACTCAAAGAAGCCAATATGTGTGAAAAAAAGTATTTAATAGGCCACTTGATCAAAAGAGTAAACACAACCATATGCCAAGTATAGTTAACCTTTCTCTTTTAAGGCAACAATACTGATGCTTTCCATATCTCGATGAAAAGATTAATTACAAGTACAGTATACGCCTACGCATACTTCTTGTATAGTTGTCAGTATAAGCCAAGTGTACTTATAATTTTATTAAAAGTAAACTGAAAGCATACTCTTCTTATTTTTCTTATTTTATCTGTATCTAATAATGTCTTAAAGGTGAATAATTTATTTTGTAATGTAATCATCAAGAAATGTGTGAAATGAGTCAGACTAATAGTGTACACACTGTGTGAGAGTGATGATTTATTTATCATTTCTAACTAAGCAAATGAGAAAGACACTACAAGCGTAAGAAGGCCTCACCTTTTTGAAGGCTAGCAGATGCGTGAGGCATGTACAATATCTGGGGTTCATTGTTTATAACACAAGTAACCCTCTCGTACATGACGAACATAATGGGCACGAAAGCTGAGCCGCTCCAAACCCACCTCTGTCTTGTCATCCTCTGACAGACGATTAGTCCTCATGTTTCTGTAGGTCCAGGTAACCCTCTGCAGCCCTGAAGGGGTCCCTCTCTTCAGGGTACATAACTGCACCCCGTTGTGACTGACATTGTTCCATTTGCTTCAGGATGTCAAAAGTAATTCATGAATTGTTTGATTCTATTCTACATAACGTTTGCACTGTATTACGAGCAGCTGCAGACAACTATATTTCTAAAACCTTGGAAGAGTGAAATGAATCACTTGTACAATATGTCCATAATGTACATTGATGTAGGACACTTGTACTTTATGTATCTATGCATCACCAAGGTCATTTTTTTGCTTTTTGCCTTTACTGAGTAGGACAGCTGAAGATCAACTGGAAAGGGTGAGAGAGGAATGACACGCAGCAAAGGGCCACAGGTCAGATTTGAACCCAGAGCTGCTGCAGCAATGACTCAGCTTGGTACATGGGGCGCAACCAGGTGAGCTATCAAGGCGCCCCTTGCCAAGGAAAACAAAATACAATAGACTGTGTAAGAAGAGAGTACTGTACCCATGGGACAGGTGTATTTTAGAAACCTGATTTGGGTGTAACCTTAACAAGAGAACATTAGGTCTTGACTTTCTTAATAGGCGGTGTAATCAGCCTCTGTTCAGGGACCCAGTTTAAGGCTTACCTGTACAATGGATTATTTTGGAACAATGAAGTGATTGGGTGCAAAAATACTGCACCTAGAGAGAAACCTCCCAGCACAGAGCAAACCACAGCAACACAGAGGTAATAAAAATAAAACTCACAAGATTACAAATAGCACATGAATTTTGTTTTTAATTAAGAAACACCAAGGGCAAGGGGAGCGTCTTTTCAACACTGGAAATGGATTGTCAGGTCGCCCTGACGGGGACAATATTCCATCTGGTACAATTTCATTTCTTTAACCGAGTTATCTGCTTTTTTCTGCCATTCAGAAGTGAAACAGTAAAATGTTTAAAACATTTGAAAATAAAAATTTCCATCATTACTAAAAAGTGCAGCTTTCATATTTTGCAATTGCCTAAAAACAACCAAAAAGCAGTTTCTTGACAACTTTGCATTGGGCGTGAGTGTACAGTGTATATATGGAAATCCAGTTTAAGAGCAGAACATCATTCTCTGCTTCAGTGTCCTAAACCTGGACCACAGCAGTGGCTCTTTTCAGTCCACATGTTCATATTTGAACAAACATGATGACACCTTTCTGTGTAGATAAATAATTTATTTGTTGCATTTGGAGTCTAAGACTTTTTTCATCAAGTGAATAATAAGACCAGTTTCCAACCATTTGATCAGGCAGTTCCAGTCAGGTACTTAACCCTTCATGGAACTACAGTGGGGATTTCTGAAGAACTTACCGGGGGGCCGTATTCAAACTCTAACAAGAGGGGAAAAACAAGGGGATGTGGGAGGCAATACACAATAACCAGAGGAAAGAAAATAGCAAGCTTCTGTGATTGCTCTAAAACAGCAGAATCAAGCCTTGAAACAAAAGCGATGGAAAAGAGGAAAAGAAAAACAAAAAACATAAAATAAATAAAAATGAAGCAACTCTAAGAGAAAGGATAGTGCTCATTTTTAGGATATTAATACAAATATTTTAAGCTTACAAAAATGAGAAAAAGGTTTGTGAACCCCAAAGTGATCGTGCCGTTGTGATTTTGTGGTGTGGTTGACTAAAGGTTGGCGAGCATGCTTTATTAGAGCTACACTACTGGTCACAGCACCTGCAGGAGGTTTCCACTGCATTCCCACATGACCAAACACTATCCCAACTGTGTCCTACTGCTGTTTGATGAATCTCCCTCTGCAGAGAAAACAACCCACAGAACCACAGAGCCTTCAGAGTTTTATAGCTTACTGAATTGTCACTAAAGCTACCAAACCTGAAAATTAAGCAACATCTTGAGGCAGTTCTGGGTTGATCCTCCTGAGGATATGGATAATGACACACACACACACACACACACTGACACACACACACACCTGACTCCACACTGGGGCTTAAAGTAGAGTGACCTATGAGAAATGGAAGGGGCTGGGACATATGTAACCAACACATTTACTAGCATACACACTCATTCTTAATTGATATAGATATCTACCTGACTGGCAGATAGTGTAACACATAAAACAATATCTTCAACAACCACACATAAAAAATTACACCCTTTTCAATTCACTGTTTTTTGAGATCTACTCAATCAAATAAGGCTGTGGAGGCAACAAATCATGCCATATTCTTATAAAATCAACCTCAAATGTCATGCATATCCACAAATGTGACACTAGTGTATACTGTTTTAGATTCATCTAAGAACCAAATTACTAAAAGACACCTCTACGTGTGACTGACAGGAAACCGTACGACTATGTGCTGCATCTTCATGTCTGACATTAGCACCAAGGTTTCTTTCTTTTTCATTAAAAAGAAATACAGACACAGAAGACACAACAGTGCTGTGAATGACTTGCAAAGAAAAAAACGTGACAATTCCGGTTATTAATTTGTATTTGACGACCTGAGTTGTGTACTGAAGCTGCATGTGACCGTGATCGTGTGCGCTCCTCTCCCAACAACAAAACTGTAAGCATGCTCGCGCAAAAAAAAAAAAAAACAACAAAAAAAGGTTCCTCTACAGAAGTGAAGAAAGAAGGCCTAAACATCTTCAAGTATTAATACAGTTAGGCCTATAAAAAGCCCTGGACACACAGTATTAGAACCCAGAATAAGCTCTAGGAAAGTTGAAGAGCAGTTATGGTTAGTTTGCATGTTTTCCCCCACAAATATAATATATATATATTCATATGTATATAAATAAAAATTCAGTGCTGTAAAAACATGTCCAACTCCATAGGATCTGACCCATCGTAGAAGGCCTAATAGTTTTACTCTTACTCTTCTCATGGCTAAAACTACTGCTGGAAGTATGTAAACTGTACTGGTTCTCCTGTGTTAATAGTCCTTCATTGAGAATACAACACTGAGGAAGAGAAGACTTGTTAATATCATTTTTTCTCTTTTTTGGTTTTACTGCACACAGAGAAACATATCCTGTCATGTCATCTTTTTTTGTTTTTGTTTTTGGTAGCAGCAAAGCACCAAGTTTGTGTCAGCCTCTTTGTGTGTAAGTCTCTCTGTGTGAGTCTGCTGTGTGTATGACATCACTCCATAGTCTCTGTGTGTGTACGCGTGTGTCTGTGTATGTGTGTTCGTGTATGTGTGTTGCGATCTATGAAGAGCACGGCTGCACGTTGATGCCGCGGGCTGCGTGGGCTTGCAGGTCGATGGCCTGAGCTGGCTGCTGTCCCGGCCGAGCGTTCATCAGTGTCAGGTTCCTCACGCAGCCTGTCATTCCCGATGAAAACTTCCCTCCTGTCATAGCAGCCATGTCTGGGGCTCCACCTGTCACATGAGAACACACACAAAAAATTGTGTCTGTTAACTATATGACTGAGATTATACAGTGATTCTACAGCAGTGTGTAGCAGTAGTTAGTAACGCTAGCTGTTGTTTAGTGTGTTTTAGCCCTGGACCCTGTCACAGCTATGGACAGACATAGACACACCCATCTAACAATTATCATACAAGATAAATGATTAAATGTGTCCCAAGACCAAAAATAGCCAAAACAAAGACACATGAAAACGAAGGAGCTTAAAAATAAAATTAACTAATGAAAGATTAAATATAGGAGTAAAAAAAAAAAAATTGGTTTCATTTTAACTTTAAACACTTCAAAAATAAAGATAATAAAGTTTTGTTTTTAGTAACTGTTAAAGGAAAATTATTAAGCTAATAATAATAATTATAATATATGATGATTTAAACAATATTATTATTCACTGGTGACGGTTATATATCTAACTTGTCAGTGATGGGGCTCCATACTTTCAGTTCACTCACCCAGGTATATACTGCCTTTGGTGTTGACCATGAGGCTTCCGCCTTTAGACTGTCCATGTAGCGCGGCTCCTCCATCGATCTGGATGTACCCATGTTTTCCAGTCCTGCAAGAAAATAGGAAAATAATGAAATGAACACAACTCAATATCAAGCACTGAACAGACAAATCTGAAAATTGCAGATAATGTTGATAATATCAATCATACCTGACTGCTGTGATCTTATGCCATCTACCATCGTTGATGGGCTTCCGGGACAAGATCTGTGCCTCTCCGCTGCCCAGCTGGTAACTGGATAACACACAAAGCATCAGTATTACTACAACATTAATATGAGCTGAAAATAATCCTACTCATCCAGATTTCAGCAGAACTACGGGGTTACAGGCCTGAGTCACCTGAAAACAAGGCGTCCATTCTGTAGACCGAGACTAATGAAGTCCTTGCCTTTGCCGTGTTCTCCGTGCTCCTGGAAATAAATATGTTTAGTCAGCAAGGGAAGGAGAGGTTGTGAGACTGAATATGGTGAACCACTGACCAGCTGCAGTCATTTTCCGCACCAAGAGTCATAATAGCAAACATGAGGCAATGCATACAGATTGATCCCAGTATTTGAATAAGTTTGACATAAAACCTTCCATGCGAAATAATATTAACAGATGCCATCATGCACAATGTGCAATACAGATATTTTCAATTTCAAATCACATGATTCTCCTGAAATATCTCATTATTGTTCTACTATACATACATATGGAAAACACACATTATGAAACATGCCAAATAAACAAGGAGTGTCTTGTGTTTGAGTGGATACCTTTTTACTAGCATGCACCTTTCGCAAATTGCGTGCGCCATTGGTCTCCTGAAGAAAATGGAGTTGGAGTTAGAGAAGCAACATGCATTTATTTAGTGGTGTCAGACAGAGCCGTGCTCACAGCCAACATGCCTAGCAATGTTACAGCCTCTGTGGCTCGAGTATGAATTAGAATTGTGATGACGATGCTGCTCAATAAAATACAGTATTGTGTCAGTGATGTATTACTGTTGACATGCAAGTCCAAAACTCACTGACTGTTATGAGAACATTAATGAGTGTCACGTCTTTACAGATGAGGTAATGGTGATGATTAAGAGTGCTGAAATGCAGTAGCAAAGTTAGGGTGTGGATGAAAAAAGTGGACGGGAAGGTTTGGATTATATGGTTTGGTCCTACAGATGAGTCCAGGACCAGGACTCACCACTCCCTGCCACAAGATCAGGCCCTCAGAGGAGCCAGTGTTGATCTCCAGTTCGATGGTCTCTGGTGAATCATGGGCACTAAAACATAAAAAATAACAATAATTTTTCTCTTGATGCATGTTACATCAACTCCTAATAATAATAATAATAATCTGTGAGAGTAAAACAGTGTAGAAAAGTAAACTACACTGACCTTCTTGGGAAAATGGATTTAGGAAGGCCAATGTATCCATCATTGTGGAAATGAGCTGCATACTGATACGGTGAATCTACAAAACATACAGAAAATACAAATCAAGACGACATTTGGATAATAGTGAGGTTGTTGTGAAGTTTGATCCTCACTGTTATGGTGCCCTCCAGTGGCGAAAGCATGGAAGAAAACCCTGCTAAGACTTGGTTAGATACAACAGTTGTAGTCAAAGAGATATTCTTTAAGTGAGATTGAATCACTTAGCAACGTATTTTATTTGTTGGTGGGTGTGTAAAGCTTAAAGACTATATAACTTTTAAAAGAAGAAATAACACATTCTTCCTCTTACCAATGAAAAGTTGAATTTATAAGCAATAAAACGCACTCATGCTCAGTTTAATACTCTCAGGGAATTGTCTGCTACAGCCTGACTTACTTAGATAGATATTGCAATATTACTGAATTAGTTTGTTGACTTTATTACTCTTTTTTGTGCTACTGTGTCATTATGTCTAAGCATGTCAGAGAGATTTAATCGTATCTGGCATGCTGTTCATAAATTTAATAAATCTGATTTGTTAACTTCTTGTTTTACTTCTGTCATTTTGTAACATGCTAAAATATAGCATAAAAGTAAGTAAAAGAAGATCTCAGTAATGTCAGTTACAATGCAATACCAGTAAGGTTTGTTAGCATTAGCTAATAGAAGCTATATCAGACAAAGTACGTTTATAGCAAAACCCCTGTGTCTAGAAATGAGCAATTTAACGTTGAATTATTGTGGATTTTATGATTGAATTCACCTTTACAATTGTAACAGGAAGATAATGTTATTTATTCTTTTAAAAGCTACATAGTCCCACTTTAAACACATATGAAACAAAATATCACAATCCTAAATTTGATTATATGCCCAAAATCAATATGCAAATACTGCAATTTCGAAAACAACAAAAATCTGACCGAACCAGGCTCCATGATGCAAACTCATTTGACAGTCAACACATGAGAAAGTTATTTGCCATTCCTCACACGCTATACCATGTCTGACCTTTCACAGAGATCAAACTGAACGCACCATGCGTCCATGCAGGAATACCACATTAAAATATGCTTGAAATACATCTCAACTCACCCAAACACACTGTGCTTTCAACAGACAGTTGAAGTTGTTAGTAACAGCGCAAATGTGTGTAGCAGATTTAATGTTCTGACTCAGACAGTTTCAGAGAGAAAGACATGTATTTTCATGTATTTTCTTGTTTTACAGACAAGCATTGTTGAGGTAGACGGAAACATGATTTTATGTTGTGAGTAGCCATCTTACAGGCATAGACATGATGATAAGGAAAAACAAGAACAAGGGGAATTCCACATTTCATTTGGGTCCGAAAACAGGGAGCACAAATTAGTTGATCTCCCGGCTACAGTCTACCACCCTATTACCTTTTGATGTAGATGCAGAATTCCCCTCTCCCAACTTTCCAATGGGGATAAGAGCCTCAGTTGCCAGTTGAGTACAGACGCATGTTTGGTTTGTGTTTATGTGCGAACATGTGTTAGGCAATAGACAGTTCGGGTTGAGCTTAGAAGGAACGTGGGGCCCCTCGAGCTCAGACGGGCCCCTGTTAGTCACGGTCGTGTCAGGCAGACTTAATATTGAGATACTGTACCATTTGCCTCGCTAGCTTCCAAATTCCACTGGGCCTCGAGCAAGCTGGTGACATGGCCTGTGTGTGCAGGATATAGCCATGAGAGTGCAGGGGTAAGACATACGTAATCACTTAGGGTTGACCCTCCCAGCATGCACTGCAGGGGAGTCAACTGTCTGATGTTAGAGGGGCTTCATACTGTGGAGAATGTGAGTCATATGGACTCATTTCTGGCTGTTTGTCTAGTCTTTCTACTTTAATGACGAATATCTTTGTCTATAGGATGCATGTGTATGCAGGAAGTGATAGGCGCTGTAGGGGGTCAAATGCTTTGGGGATTTGGAGAACTGTTTTCAAGATAATATTGTATATTAAAGACAATAGAACAACACAATTAAACAATTTTCCCTCACATTTTGTTCTTTTTTATGGCTTTGATTTCAATACAACGTTTGGTATACATGTTTGTGTAGCTAGTCAATACTTACTTTCTTCACAGTTCAGACCCGTGTGGCCAGGCGTACACACACACTTGCCGTCGACACAGCTGCCGCCATTCTGGCATTGAAGGTTGCTCTGGCACACGTCTTTCACCACCTCACAACGCTCACCTGCAGGGTCACATACCAGGCATGGGTCAGGGGTGAAAGGTCGATGGTCAAGTTCATACCAAAGACAGGGTGAGTTCAAAGGACCAGGGGAAAATAGATGGAGAAAAGTAATAGATATAGAAAGTGAAGTGAAAAATGGGCAGAAAACAGAAATGCGGTGCAGATTAGGCACCAGAATCCAGAGCTGTGTTACATTATTTAGAAGACTTCAAGCACTTTCGCCACTAACCTTCAAATCCGTCCTTACAGAGGCACTGGTACTCATATTCAGCACTCGACATGCAGTGACCACCATTCAGGCAGGGCCGGCGGTCACAGGGACTGTTGTCCACACACTTGCGGATAGATCTGAATTCTGTAAAGCTGTAGGACAGATCCACCTTCTTGTTGTTGATGGAAACCTAAGCAGGCAGTGCAGACAAGTTTAAGCCACCACATACAGAAAAATGTTTGTGAACTTTTGTTTTATTTCCTTTCTTAGAGATCTCACCTCTCCTATACATCCCTCAAACATTTCGCTGACATTGGCAGGCTTAGGCAGAATCTCCATGTTGGGGACTCCTCCCAGGTACATATGGGTGTGGATATTGAGGCCCTGGGCTTTTCCTGGAGACATCTTTCTCTCCACTGGGCCTTGGTCCACCTTCAGGTGGCCGGATCTCTTGTTTCGCTCGGCCACAACTCTGTGCCACTGGCCCAGAGAGACTGGCTCTGAACTCAGAAGGATTGCCTGGCCTGAAAATAAACATGGATGAAGTGGGGGGTTTGAATCCTCTTTCAGTCAGCTCCTTCAACTCTTTAACTGCATTAAAAATCTTTACAATTTATTATAAAATTATAACTTATAAGACACATACAGTACAGTAAGGACAAATACATTCCTTTCTGAAATTTTTATAGCTTTGTGTTGATAATTTACCTGTGCCCAGTTCATATCTGAACTCTACATGTCCTTCCACCATGGAGATGGCGACAAAGTCCTCCACCTTCATTTTCTTCCCTCCACAGAAGAACATCAAGCCATCTCTTTCCAGGGGTTTGAACTCTAGTTCAACACGCAGGTCATCATGGATGTTGGTCAGTGGAGGATAGGCTATGTATGATTCCTCACCATCAAACAGTGGAGTGGTCACCAATTCCCCTGGTGAAAGTGAAGTAAAATGGATATTTCATTACACATGAAACCTATCTATACCAGCATTGTATATATTCCTAAAAATACTTAATGTCTTAATGGGAGATGAGATTAATTTCCTGTCTTACCATCCATGCATTTGTTTCCAGACTTGCCAAGATGGCAGCGACAGTCATAGCCAAGGCCATTTGCGCGGTTGATGCAAGTGGCGTCTGGTCCGCAGGCCTCTGTGGGAGTTCAGATCACAAACAGAGACATAAAACACTTATTTTACAATTTTTATTTGTATTATTTACTAGTATAACACTGCACTCTTAAATGTGCACAGTGACAGAGTTGATAGCAGTATCCAGGTACTATGATACACACTATATATATTTGTGTGGTCAGGTGGAGATCGTACCTGAGTGACAGTGCAGGGATGAATGGTGCTGGCAGTTGCTGCCTGTGAATCCTCTGGGGCAGCTGCACTTATACAAGCTGGCATCTGAGTCCTCACACCTCCCTTCATTCTGAATGATGACATGTCAGAAAATATGTATCAATTATGGGATTAAACACAAGACCAATACCACAAATACATCAAGTGGATGGATGTAGCGGACCTGGCATGGCTGGTCTTTGCAGGTGGGACAGTTTGTGACACCAGTAGAGCTGCGGTCCAGGTCTTTGAAGATGACTTCATCACCTTGGATAACCAGCTGACGGATACAGCCTGCATACAAGAAATGTCAAACAAGGATGAGTCTTGACGCCAAGAACATCTTTTCTCTCCATCGTATATTTCCTGTCAAGGTCTAAACAGAGATGTCTTACCAACAAAACCAGTCTTAATGCCAGCAGTTTTGGCGAGGACTGTGAAGTTGGGATAACCACCCACATGCAGCTCCTCATTCAGATCCAGGCCCTGGAACTTGCCCTGAGAAGAGAAAATATACATTTGTGGAACATATTAACTGGCATAAACAAATTAAAATACACATACGTATGTGACAATAGGAGTTACATTCACATTGACAGAAGTACCTGTGAGCTGCCGTTGATGGGCTCCCCTCCGTCTACAATGATGTAGCCCAAGGTGTGGTTGCGATACAGCTCAACCGTGTGAAACTCTCCCAGTTTGACAGGGTTGGGGTCACGTATGGTGGCCATGCCGGAGCCCACGTCAAACCTGAGTCAACATAGCAGGTGATTATCGACAAGATCATCAAGCTGTGTTTTGAATTAATTAGCAGAAATATCAGTGAAAACTTACCTGAACTCTAAGCGTCCGCCCACTAGCCCCAGAGAGATAAAGTCTGCTCCTGTGGTCCTTCTCTGGCCATTGTAGAGGATCATACCTATACCACAAATACAGGGTGAGTGAGTACTAGTAAAAACGTAATCCTCAGTGCATTCCCCAACAATAATATCCATCTTAATAAGTCCATAAATCTAGCAGATTTATTTAAACAAATGGAATCTCACAGTATTTGTTATGCACATTATGTTCTTTCAAGAATTTCCTTGAGTCAATAGTGAAACAATATCCTTTTTCAGCTTTGTCTCAAAATAATGCCATTTGTTTCTGCAAAATCTTGAGTGTAAAAAAGATTTTATACCAAATAAGAGTAAGTGACTTGTTAGGATGGATATTGTTTGCAATAGATCCATTCACACAGAAAGTAAACTCTTTGAAAGCTGGATGGTAAAGCAGCATGCCATGGGGAGGCAAGATAAAGCCAACCAAAGCCATGTTATAACCTGTCATCTTATCTGGGCATCACTGGGCTGCCAAGTGCAACCAGTCACACCATACTGCCAGTCCTCTTTTGTCTGTCTCCACATGCTGGGAACACATGCTTTGAATGAGCTACAGAGGCTCACGGGAAGTGGGAGCATGCCCTCTCACACATCTATCTATAACATCTCTGATAGTTGTGAAAAGGAGTCATCTATTATCTATTATGATCATATTATGCTGTAGATACTACTTCACACCTTTAAACAGTGTGTTCAAATATCGTTTGTGAATCATTTGTAGCTTGTTTGTTGCTAAACACATGCTTTGCCAGTCAATATAAAGAGAACAAGAGCCATATATTTTCCTTTGATTTAACAAACATTTCACTGTAATGTCTATTCTTTTTGCTGTCATGTCATTACAGAGCACTAACTATGGGTAGGTTCAAAGAAACCATATAAGTTCTTGCAAATTTAACTGTAGCCCTCTTTATTTTCAGAACTGCAGTGATGTTTAAATAAAAAAACACCTACAGAAATATGTGTAGCACTGCATTTATACAGTTCAACCATATAAAGACTGTGATTTTAAACAGCAGTGCTGCTATGTAGGTGGTATAGAAGATGACGAAGTAGACTGGCATGTAAAAGTAGAATTGTAAAAAGCTATTATTATGCTGATGACTGTAATACACCGAGAAGTGGCTTTGTGATCATGACCAGAAAGCCTGTATGAAAACATAGGCCATGCACCATCTGGCATCTCTTTCACAGCCTTTAAATCAGCTCTGAGCTGGATGCATTATGTGAAAATATGATGGAGCCAAGAAGCAGAACTGCCAACATCACTCTTGAGTTCCTGAGGATCTCAAGCACTGAGACTCACCAGCGTACAATATGAGACCTTCCCACCACGTGGGTGAGAGGAAGAGGTGAGGGAGAGAGGGAAGGGACAGAAGACGCAGTGAAATTATACATGAGGAAATATAACAAACATAGTACAAAAAGCAAAAAACATTTTCACGCTGCAAGATTCAACAAGAAAACAGTGTAAAATAATACACTATACAATTGAACTGTAAAGCTAATCTAGAGTTGCACTTCCTTACCATCACCATTATCGGGTCTAAAGTTGATCTTAATGCTGAAAGCCTTGTAGGCATTTTTGATGGTGGGCAGGGTGAGGTAGGACGAGGGTTGCTGGGCAAAGTATGGCATCACTCTCTCTGAAAAAGAAAATTAATCTCATAGTTAGATATAGGTAACAATACAGTTTATACTTCAAGCTTTTCTTTTATTTATCAACATCCCTTCCTACAGTATTCCCATCTCTGCAGACTAACCGTGGACTTCAAGTGTAGTAAAGGCTTCCACTTTTCCCTGTTTGTTAGAGGCAGTGCAGACATATGTCCCAGAATCCTCATGGGTCACCCCAGGAACTGTCAGCACGTTGACTTCCTGGAAACACTTAGGAGGAAGCTCTCCATCCAGCTGGACACATAAACAGTAATAAAAAAGTTACTCTCTTCAAGCCAGATGAGTTGGCATTTAGACTACAGACATCAAAGAGTATTAAAAAGAGACCATATTTTAGTTTTAGTTTTAAGTTTATTGAACAACAATAATATCTTGGTTACCTTGGACCATTTGATCTCAGGTACAGGGTATCCTGACGCCACACAGGGCATGACTGCATCAGACCCAACTGTCACCTCCTTAGTTTCGGGCAGCGCAGCAATTTGAGGAAGGGCTGTGCAAACAGGCAAAGGATTTCAATGTGGCTGGTGTTAACAGCTTAATTGACAACATATGGCAGCAGTGTGTGTGCATGCATTTCTGCAAGTGTGATGGAGGGAACTTAATGTGGTGTTTTTTTGTGCACTCACACTGGACATTAAGGACCACCTGGGACTGCACTGAGCCTACGTCGTTGGTGGCCGTACAGCGGTACTGCCCGGCATCGGCCTCCGTCACCTGCTCGATCTTCAGCATGCCACCCTTCACCATGATATGAGCGGGCAGAGACCCACCGACTTTACTCCACTGAACCGTGGGCTCTGGGTCACCAACAGCCTGGCACTCGAACTCCACTGAGTTTCCTATCATCACAGTCTGCACTGAGGTACGCACATTGATCATCACTTTCGGCAGGGCTGTTGAAAAGAAAAGAGCAGAGAAATGACACGTTATATTTGGCTTTGATGCAGCAGGGTGTATACTAATGTATTTGCTGGGATCGTAACAAACCTTGGATGGTCAACCTGGCAGTGTCCTGAGCCTGACCATACCCACTGCTGGCTCTGCAGATATAAACACCTTCATTGCTCTGCTCAAGGTTCTCAATCCTGCATAAAAAAAAATAATTACACACATGAAAACAAGCCACAGTATGGTTTTTACCAGAAAAGATCTTATTGTCATCGATTCCCATGAAAAGACAACAAATTCATTCTCATATAGTCTATTGATCTCTGCCATTATTGTCCATCAAGAATAAAAACACATTATGCTGCTTTAAATACTTGCTAGAGCACCAAGTATATGGCTGAAAATAGTAAATTTAGTCCTGTTTGAGCAACTTTTGCCAAAAGTGACAGTGCTCAGCTGTTTTAAGAAATGATTTAGCCTTTAAAAAAAAGACTCTTTTTAGAAGATTTACATCTTCAGAGGGAACAAACAGACTTGGTTCTGAGAGCTACAGACAGCTGTGGAAGTCGTAAAGTATTGACAGACTCATGTGATGTGTCGACAATAAAATAAAGTAGATTGCCATTATCCTTTAAGTGCATATTATTTACAAATTGCGCCAAATATGTTGAATAGGCTCAGTTATAAATACTTGTTAATGGGTAAAATGTGGAAAAATGGCCGTTCCTTTAACATCATATGTACATCATACCATACATATGGTGCGTATGAGTCACCTGAGCACCCCATCCTTGACGTGGTGGTTGGGTGGAAGAGCTCCTCCTTCCTTCAACCACTCAATTTTGGTTTCTATACCACCTGCTGCAGAGCAAGTGAACTCCACAGCGCTTCCCTGGGCCTTTACTTCCACCTGGGGTGATACACGCACTGCCAAGGGAGCTACAGAGGGGAAGGATAGAGACATGATTTAACCTTGATGTGGTAAAAGATTATCACTACTACACATCTCTTTTCAATTCTAATCTTTAGATGTTCCTAAACATGTGCTATCTACATCGAGCTTTTAATTATTTATAACATGTAAAACCTTGTCAGATCATTACGTTATCAGCAAACTTACATCTGACTGTGACTTTAGCAACCACTTCGCTGTTGCCCACTTTGTTGCTGGCCACGCACTTGTAACTCCCAGCATCCTCAGCAGTGGCCAGGTTGATCTGAAGATCCCCGCCGCTAACCTGGGCCCTCGGGGGCAGGTTTCCATCCAGCTTGGCCCAAGTGTACGTCAGAGGAGGAGTGCCGTGAGCCAGGCACTGCAACCGGATCACCTCCCCTACCCGGACAGCCACATCATCAGGCATAGAAGTGGCATAGGGAGGAGCTAGAGAGAGGATAAAAAGAGAGATATAATTGCAAAACAAGACATATTAGGAATTTGTACTCACTGTAGTCTATCATCCATTCTAGATCCAGTCGATGAATACTTTAAAATTAATTAATAATAAATATAACAACAAACACTCACTCTCTACATCGAGCATGATGGTGACTTCAGTGGTGCCCATGTTGTTGGTGGCACTGCAGATGTATTCTCCAGAGTCTTGGCGACCCACGTTGGGCAGCACCAGGCTGTTGTTCACCACCTTGTGTCTCCAAGGCAGAGGAGAGCGCAGCTTGGACCAGGTGATCGTCGGGGACGGGAAACCTAGAAAGGCAAATAGCAGATCAGAACATTAATTTAAAATAGTTTGTACAGGGGTTTTTGGACAGTCTTTGGTAAAGTTCTGCAACATAAAAAGTGCCACACACAAACAGGACAGAAAGAAAAAGCCTCAAATGAATTCCAGTGGTATAAATGAGCCATCATTACCGTGGGCCTCACAGCGCAGTGTTGCAGTCTGTCCCTCCACCATAACCATCAGCGGTTCAGGAACAAAGGCCCTCGGCACTGTGGGCACTTGAGAACCTCCTTCAACCGTGACCTCCACCTTGGTCTCAGTAGTGCCCTCATTGTTGCGAGCTGTGCATACATACGTGCCACTGTCCTCCGGACGTGCTACTAGTATCTGCACAAGAAGAAAAATGGATTTACCTTAACATACAAAAACATGGAGTTTCCAAACAAAGCTGATTTCAAATAACTTAAACTGTTCTACAGTTGCTGACAGTGATGTCAGATGTATCAGTACCTGCATGACTGCGTTGGACTCCATGGGTACAGGACTGCTCAGCATGGTCTTGCGGTTGCTGTCCAGCCTGTGCCATGAGACGGTGGGGCGGGGCTCTCCTGACGCCTGGCATTCCAGGTTAATGGGCTCTCCCACCCTAACACGCACAGGTCCAGCAGGAGTGACGGTGGCCACAGGAGACTCTGAGGGCACAAAGTACAGGTATGGCTTTCTATCTGATGAGCCACTAGAGGGAACCCTTAATTTACAGGTTTGGGGTGGGGGTGTAAGGACTGAAATGTGAAAAGTCCTTCTGTAGCAAAAATTAATGTGTGAATGTGTTCTTGTTTGTAGCTTACCTTTGACAATCAAAGACACGATGGTGTGGGTGATGCCGAACGGGTTGCTAGCCACACAACGGTAGGCACCATGGTTCATAGGGCGGACAGAGACAATGGTAATAACCGAACCATCAGGTCCAACTTTAACATTATCTGCAGAAACGTGGAGAAAATGAAACATTAAATCCGCTGTAGATGCTGCAATTTAAAGGTCCACCAATTCTATATATAAAAGTGTGTTCACTCATCATGGTTAGCACTATTAAGCCTCTGTAAACAGTTGTATAATGTCTTCTTTGCCTCTGGAGGGAGCTTTCTAAAGTTTTAATATAACCCTGTCATAAAGATTCCTGGCTTGGGCTTCAGACTTAAATTGGTTTAACGAAAAGTCTACATTTAAACTGAAGTGGGCATTTCGGAGGCAGGGTATTTAATGACAGATGCTTTTTAGTTGCATTAATTTGTCTCATGTCAGTCCCCCAATTTTATGGGAGAGCAAAACCAAATCACTGGGGTAGCCCTGTAAGACATGTTGAGTAGTTTAAGAACCCCCTTGCAGATATTCATAATTAGGGGTAAGATGTCTAAAGCTAAAGAAATCTTGTGTGAGTGAGTATGAGTAGCCTAGCTCAGTCAATCGTATTTTCACTCTTTTAAACAAACAGATTTAATTTATTTACTGAATACACACCACAAAGCACTGATATGTTTTGAGAAGCAAAGTCTCAAAGAGCCATCATGTCAGTAACTTTACTAGGCTAAACGACAATCTTTTAGAAATGCAAAAACCTCAAAAGTCTAAAGAAAAGGGAAAAAAATGAGTTTTAAATTAAATGAAGTAACAGAGGAGTAATTCATGGGTGGATTGCAGCTGTAAATGCTTGTAAATAATGACATCATAAAATCAGAACTCATTAAGCAGGTTTATTCCTCAATGTGTGTGTGGTAATTACCTGGCAGCGGCTGGTTATTGGCCAGTTTCCACTCCAGTCTAACAGGCTGGGCTCCGCTGTACACCCTGCACCTGAAGCTGGCAGACTCCCCTACACGCACCGCAGCACTGTGGGGCTCAATGGCGATGATTGGACTCTGAAGACCTGCAGCAGAAACCAGCGGTTTGGGATCCGGACAGATTCTATTTGAACATTATTCTTCATGATCTCACTTCATTTAGCTGACTTATTATTCACAGAAACCTGAAGTAACAAATTACTATTCAATGTGGCTATTGGCTTCACTGGCAGAAGTCCAGGAAGGAGTGAAAGAGGATTAGATCATGGGACAGTAGCGAGGAAAATCATTCAATCTGAGGTCACGTTGGGCTCTACTGGAAAGTCGACTGGAAAGTTCATTCATGAAGTGAGGCAGTGTTAGTCTGAGAACAACACCCTGCCATGTAATGCCCTGCCCTTAATGTGTTTTTCCCAGCCTCTGACTGATGCTGCCATCAACTGTAATTTCCTTGGTGAGACGGTAATGACTGTCAAGTGTAATCAGACGTACATCAAGCACAGTAAAAGAACAGCGGGAACATTTGAAAAAAATAGCAAATATCAAAATTGGCTCTATTTTATTATTCTGTTTTAATATGAAAAATACTTTTTCGATCTGTCTGCAATGTCAGTTAGTATGCCACCTGTCCTAAACTTACGTGAAGAAGATGAAGTAACAGACACAGAGACAGAGGCCTGGTGGACGTGAGATCCTGGGTTCCCAGTGTTGCCCTGAACCCGACAAACATACTCCCCTGAGTCCTCTGGAGTGGCTGACAGGATACGCAGCTGACTGCCCAGAACCTGCACACAGCAGACAAGGAATGGAGACTCTTCAGTTCATCTTACAAGTAAAATCATCATTATACTTTATACTTTACACATTAATACTCCTATCACCTCTACTGCTACTATTACTGGCATATGATATTTATATTTCCCAATATTGCCCATGAAATCTATATGAATAAGGGATTTAATATTAAAATGGTTGGGGGAGAATTCTGCACAAAAATGGATTTTAGGAATTACCACAATTTTGAGGGGTCTGGAAAGGTTTTTCTCTGCTGCATCACATTCAAAGATTAAGAAATTACCTTTACCAACATTTAAGACAGATGTCTGATCAAACTGGGGCAAAATGATTTCACCTTCACATCTTAGTGTGATTACCTGGTGGTTAGAGGAGAGGCGTCCACTGGCTCTCGTCCAGGTGACTTGGGGAGGAGGATTTCCAGGGGCAAAACAGTTGAGCTCCAGATTCTGGCCCTCCTGGACATCAGCTATAGATGGCTGGATGCTGACCACTGAGGAGCTATGGTCGGCTGCACAAACACAAACAGATGCACCTCATAATGTTTTTCCTGTAAAAGATTCACTCTGAATCTTATGACTTTACAGGAAGTACTGATTGTTTATTTCTTTTCTTTTTTGTGGTGTATTATAAAGTTATAAGTGCTCTGGTCATTATTACTGTGAAACTACTGTTCATGTTACTGTGTTTCTCAGTTGCTGGGTGACCTTAAGGAGGCAGGGTATTGGTAGATAAGGTGAAAGCATGGAGGGGGAAAGTTATGGCTTGTCTGGAAGGGAGGGAAGTTTTATTTTAATATAACCTCCATTATCATTATGCCAAATTTCTCCAGGAAAGGAACAAGTCAGTTGTAAATGGGTACTTATGTATTATACCTGCACCTGTATGTGTATGTATGTTCATATCTATCTATTACTATTATCATTGGCGTGTTTTATTTATCTATGTATTTTTTCTCTAATTCAATGTAACTATGACACATAAAATGTTCTCATGTCAATATATCCACCACACCAGAAACAACCCAACAAAGGTCAGACAACAAAATCAAATGTAATATTGCAACCTCTGAATCAACCAAACTTGGTGGGCTGATTCTATTTGGCTACTGTGAGGGCTCACCTTTGAACACAGTCACTTTAATGGGAGCACTATTTGAGCCAATGCTGTTGCTACCAACACACATGTAAGTGCCTGAGTCGGACATCTTGATGTTGGGGATGAGCAGAGTGCCGATGTCTGTGCGGTCCATGCGGGCCTGGAGAAGACACACCAATAAGTGACGAGATTAGATACTTATCTTAAATACACCACCTTGTGGCTTTCTTGATATAAACTGCTGTGCATTACATTTCAAAGATAGGATTTTATTAATATGTACAGTATAAAAACACACATAACTCATACAGTTTATTGAAGACAAAGCACATCACTTACCCGTCTCATGTCCCTTGAAACTACACAAATATGACATTGCTGACACTATGACAATACTAGCTAATAGCGACACAAAAGCACTACAGCGTAGATCTTTAAGACAAGACAAGAGTTGTTATTGCTACAGTTCAGTCTTTCTGTGAATGGATTTTGGTTTATGATTTCTATGACACTGTACTTTGTACATGAAATTGTGTACGAAGTAGTGCCAACATTTCTACAATGATTGGTGATTGGTGATTTGTTAATATATCATGATCAGTGGTGATTACATTTAGTATCATCTTTTTTCTAAAAAAAAGATTATGATTGATGATTTTCAAAATGATGGGAAGATTAGGAGAGTTTGTGATACATTGATTTGAGCCGGAGGTTACTTGATAAGCATTGCAAAGCAGTTCTTAAGAGCAAAATCAGTGAATAATCACTAACCAGTGCCCTGGAAGTTAAAGTCAACCATCAAATATCTGAGAGCAAATACTGAGTAAGAACCAAAACCTGAACTTTCAACACTCTCAGAACTCTCATGACTTTCTGACTCATAAGCAATCAACAACATGACTTGTTTGTACACTACTCCACATGGCAGTCAGAGACCCAGCAAGGCTGAAAATGAGCTTTCATAAAGTTTGGAAACACCTCAGAGGGGAGGGGAATCAGGAGGGGAGGGTCTGGGGAGGGATTACTGTATCCGGGGGGTGTTGGGGCATCCATGGACAAAGCTGCTTAGCTCCAGCCCATTCAACCGTGAGGGAGGCTAAACCGAGCAGTGGCTGAGGCGGGCCTCGGCTCAATGTGTGTCTGAACCCATTGACGAGTTTTCAAAGCAAGCCGTTTGCTAGAGCATACAGAATTTCTGCGTGGTCGCACGGCAGAGCCCAGCTCCCCCTGGGAAAGGCTGACACAACGCAGTGGCTCTCTGAGGCAGAACTAAACAGGCCCCGGAGCCCTCAACAAGCCGAGGAGGGCTGTGCAGAAACCAGACTAACACAATACCCCTTTGGGCAGGGGGGCAGCGGGCTGTGCCTGGCACTGAGCAAAATATGTCTGAAATACCTACAGTACCTACTGTATATTTAGTCCTGTTAATACACTCAATGGAATGATGAGCGTCAACTGGGTGCTGAGAGCCCAAACATGTCAGGGATGGTATGATGTGGACAGTACAAAACGAAAGACTATGGAACACTTTAATTAATAAAACGCAACATAAAAACATGTACTGCATGCAAGTACACTAAGAAGTCAACCAGACTCAGGCTAGTTGGTTTTAATGTATTTGGCATCAGCTCTAAAGGGACTTAATGAGCAGCTGTGGTAAATTAACAGGATTTACAAGGTGTGAATCAAGGACACATTTGATCATGCATTTAGTCGACAATGTGTGAAGACGAGGTCAGTAGAGGACAATTTATGTGAACTACGAGACAGGACAGACAGACAGCGGACAGATGGACAGACCTGCAGCTCCTCAATACGTCTCTGTAACACATCGAGACTGTTGCTTTTAAACTGATGGAAACCGTGAGAGGGAATGGCCTGAGCAAACGTCAGAACAGGGTGGGATCAAAAAAAAAAGGGGGGAGGAGACAAACAGAAGGGAGGGAAAAATAAAGGTAAATGGTCAAAATGCTGAAACAGTCATAAAAACTGACACAGTATGATGAAATACCACCGGCACCAGACACACCTTGAAGTACAAGATAGAGATATGGGACAGCAGAAATGTAAATACAGTTTTCATCAACCTGTGTTAAAGTCATCAGTCAGGCACACCAGGAGGTGTCTCACCTGTGGAGGGATTTGTCCTCCGTTTTTCAGCCAGGTGAGCTTCGGGGTGGGTGATCCTGTTGCTCGGCAGTATAACCTCAAGGTGTCGCCTTCATGGACTCCAATATTTTGGGGACTGACTTGGACTTGGGGCTGAGTGCCTAGGCCACTTGGGTTAGACTCTGACCCAAAAAAATGCATTGTGATCATTTAAACACAAAATATAACCATTAATATAACTTGAGCTTGACAGTTCAATTTTCACCAATTTAGTTGTTAACTTATTGTTTTACTTTTGTGATGTTGTTTTCTGGCTAAAATGTAGACTTGCAGCAGTGCAAATATAAAAGAATCCTAAAAGGAAATTAACTGGCTCACTGTGCCGCTAAAGCTAATCAACCTCATTTGATATCTGTATATGTTTTAATAATAAAGCTATTTGTTTTTCAAAAAATCCTTGTAACTTTGAAAATGAACAGAAAATAGAAAACACTCTTATACCCTTTTTCATAACTTAAAGGGACATTGCATTGACTCACAAGAACTCCCTGAAGACTTAACCCAACCTACCTAACCTTACCCATAATTACTACATTCCTAACCCCAAACCTTGTCCTAACCTTAACCTACCCCCGAACCTTAAACCATGTCTTAACCATAAAATCAAATGATATACATTGCTGGGAAATGCATTTTGTCCCCAAAAGGGAGACGAGTTTCCACAATGTAAGTGTGTAAACAGGTTTGCACACACATAAACACAAAACATACTTTGGACAAAGAGGGAAACCCGCGCTGTGTGCTCCCCATGAGTGTTAAGGCCTTTGCAGGTGTACTCTCCCTCATCAGCTGGGTCCACTGCTGAGAAGGTCAGTATGCCACCTCGTATCACAGCTCTGGGACTCAATCTGTTCCCTGGACCTCCTGTAACAATCACAAAGTTACACCTTGTCACTGAGACCTGTAGGGTTAGGGTTGTACTTTGTACTGGACTGAATTTCTCCAAATCATACAACAGAAATAGAGAAACAGGCCTTTCCATTGACATTACTATGAAAATATATAGCCCAACAAGGCCAGCACTAAACATTTAAAAAGTTGCGGTCTAAGTGGTCATACCGATCCATTCAATGGCAGGGGTTGGGTTGCCAGTGACTGTGCAGCGAAACTCTGCCCGCTGGCCCTGCTGGACATTCAGCACTGAGGGAGTGACGGTGGCCACAGGCTGGGCCCCTTCTGCAGCTACAGAAGGAGACACATCAGTTAAACACAGCTCAAAACGGAGAGAGTGAGACTTCCCAGAAGCAAATGGGGAAATAAAGCGTGATAATGCAGCTTCGTATGGTAGTGAAGTGTAATATGAAACCTTGTCAGGAGTCTACATCAGCAGCTTGGGCATTATATTAAGCTGTGGGAATGCTTTTGATTACAACGAATTGATCGGACTGAGAGAGAGAGAGAGAGAGAGAGAGAGAGAGAGAGAGAGAGAGAGAGAGAGAGAGAGAGAGAGAGTGATGGCCGCTGTCTGTGCCCCCACCCTCACCCTTGGCAGTCTGGATCCTCAGAGCAGACGAAGCAGATGAGATGTGGCAGGCAGACCTTGGCATGGCCTCTGGGCATATTGCTGTCTGTGCCAGTTTGGCTGGCTGCTAGACTTTCTATTCAATCCTGTATGATTCCAGAGTGGGCAATAGAATGGCCCCATTCAGTAGGGAGGGAGGAGTAGGAGGCTATCTAAGCAGGCTGAAAACCCCTAGGACTGTTGTAGCTTGGGCCAAGCTTTGACTCTCTGGCCTAAGTGACACCAATACTCCTACAATATGATCTATGGTAGAATCAGTGCATCAGGAGATGAAACTTAAAGGGCCAATTCACCCAGATTAAGAAAAAACATGATTTCTCGCTTCACTGCCTCCAGTGATATCTCTCCAAAAGGATAGCTTAAGTTTCATCTGTCCAGGTGTCTGTTTGGTAGCCCCACAATACAATGGAAGTGGATGCAATTTCATTTGTGCTGCCGAAAAGAGAAAAACTACGTTTAAAGATCCAGTTTGTAGGATTTAGTGGCATCTAGCGATGCAGTTGCAGATTGCAACTTCCTCGTTTCACCCTACCCAAGTGTGTAGGAGAAACATGTAAAAAAAAAAGCCCTATCTAGAGCCAGTGTTTGGTGTGTCACTTCTGGGCTACTGTAGAAATATAGTGGTCCAACATGGCGGACGCCATAGAAGACGATCTGCAGCATCTGTAGATATAAAAACTGATTCCTATATTTAGATGATTGTTCAATAATAAAAACATATGAATATGATATTCCATTTCTGCCAATAGAGCCTCCTAAATTCTAAACACTGGCCCTTTAAACAAGACTAAGAGTCTACAGCTATGCTAGTTGCTCTGTGAGGATGTACTGCACAGCAACATTTGCTAATGACAATGCTACGATGAGGACTTGTAGTAGGTGTAATGTTTAATATGTTCACTGTCTTAGTTTACTGTGTTGGTATACTAACATTAGCTAATTAGTATGGGAATGTCTTTATTTTAGGTAGTATCAGCCACCAAAGTTACAATTCAGATATCTCTACATTTGGAAAGATAAAACTAAAACTATCATCATGGCTAGATACCACTATAGATAAGGAAGGAAAATGTGTTTTCTTTTCCTTGGATGTATGAAATCTTGAACTCCTTTATAACATATGCAATATAGTTTGACTTCCATCTAATAATATCACGTTAACTGTGTTATTTAAAGCACCCTTCCATCTGTTTGATGCACTGAAACTAGGCATCTCACACTGGGCACAGGTCTGCTACCCACAGCCAGCTATGATGTAATGATATTGTGATAGGATGTATTAAGCACAGTATGATGTTTGAAGCCCAGATGACAGCTATTTCCCAGTACAGCATGTTTCCTGAGGAGAAAAAGTAAAGTGCAAAGAGGAAAAAAAGAGAAAGGGACATCTCTTGTCTCTGAATGTGGAGACACTGTCATCCAGAAAATATGTGAGCCTGTAGCTACAGATTATGTAATAACTAACAGACTAAATCATTGGCAAGATATAATAAAAAGGGTAATTAAACCTGCTTATGTAATACAGCAAGTTGCTGGATAATTTAATTCCATTAATCTAAAGTGATTTTTTTTGTTATATATATTTTTTCATATCAATTAATGCATTTTCCAACAGTTATTATATATAAGTGCATTTAAAAAATATAAATCTATTTTTACAGTGAGGCCTGTAGTTACCATACAACACTGACTGTGATCTTTTTTAATAATGGAAACTTGAGGACTCAACATTCATGAGGAGTTGCCCATAAGAATGAACATGCACTTTTTCCTGCAGTGATGGACCCCAATGAACCCATAGAGCCTGGTAGGAGCCAGTAATGCTCATGTACAATCCAACCATCGACTCTTAACAAAGACAGGACTTTAAAATGTAGATATAGTGAGAATTAATAACCATCTTTAGATCTAAATTCAACTAAAGATGCTTACGAACAGCATGTAAGACAGCACGGATGCTCAGGGCTGTCATGTGTGAGAGTGGGTGTAGACAGTCTCTGCAGCTGCTGCTTGGTTGATTGTACATGGGCGCTACCAGGCCACCAGTATATCCATGCTGAGGAAGATGAGTGCATGCATGACATAGAGAAGGAGAGGCGGGTCCCTCCAGGGAGCCCGGCACAGAGGAAACCATGCCCATGCGGACTTACGCTTTCTGTGTCCTTCAAACATTTCATAGGCTGTGTAAAACATCTGAGTCTGTGAGGCCTCTGGAGTTGTGGAAGGAAGGGAGGGGAGGGAGGGAGGGGACAGGTAAACTGACAGGTCAGGTTTCAGGGTTAGAGCAGTTTACCTCCCATCTCCCCGGAGACACATTCTCCAAATGTGGGCCGCCGTGATGTTGTCCAATTGATTCCGAAAAGCAGCACACACGTTATTAAAAATAAAATTAAACTGGCACCAACTTTTTTTTAAAATTCCATTTCAGCTCATGATTCTTTTTTCCTGCTTACTTCATGATTTTTGTTTATCCTGTTAGTTGGTGCCATTTAATTCAGTTATGCACATTCAACTTTCACACTTACCTTTGTTAGAATGAGCATTGTAACAGTTCATGCTTATCTCACAGAGTATCAACCAAACAAAGAACAACAATACTCCAAAATGCCTCTTATGCTGTGAATTCAAAATACATACACACACACACACACACACACACACAACACACACAGTCGCAGATCATGAAAACTGTGCAGGAGCACAAGGAGGGATGAAGTTATGCAGAGTAGCCACACATGAGACATGCAGGTTAGTAGCGAGAAGCAGTTTTAAACATTGCAACACTAGTTTAATTTCAGCTGTTAAAAAGCTGACATACAGCTTGTGGTAATCCTGAACTGACCAAGATAATGTGTAAATGAGCCCCGTACATGAATTAGCAAATCACTCTGATCAATTGTCGTTATTTTAATCAATTTTTTCTCTTTCACAAAATATTTTCACAGTTAAGATAAATACATTACAATGTGACATGTGTACATTACATCAGTTAGGTATTCTTTAAAAAAGAAATGTTAAATGTTTTAAAATCTTTACAGAAGCACCTTTGGGTATATTTGCAATCATATAGCCTTTGAGTCATGAATGAACAAATAAAGAAAATACAGCCATTGTAAAGTAGTTAAGACCAAAGGTTTAAAAAAGAAAAGGTTTTAAATGTGACCTGTGATTGTTGAGGTGTAAGATGTTCTCATAGATATATAAAAAATATTTTCTTATAAAAACACTTGAAATTGCCTAAATGTAAACACACATCATGCAAGGTAATTGCATTCACATGGCCAATTCCTTTGAAAAAAAGAAAAGAAATTCTAACATTTCTGATATATTTGATTTCATGGAAACATTTCAGGATATCATATTTCAGTCAATCAAAAAAGAGAATGTGCCAACAACATTGATATGATGTAAATAATAAGACCATAATATACAATTTTAGATGATTATTGACAAAATTAGAATTAAAAAAACATTTTTTTCCCTTTTTCTTCTGCATTTCAAGTCATATCTCGAATACTTTACCAATTAAATTTGACATGTAACAACTGATACAAACAAGACCAACCTTTACCGACACTAAAGGAATAAAGGAGTGATATTACAGCAGTATTACAGCAAGTTGAGAAAGTGGATCCAACCATAGGTTTAACCTACTGCATGGCTAATAGCACCGTTTTGTTCATTGATCATGATGATGTAGTAATTTCAGGAGGGAACACTTTATGGAGTAGAACAAACAAAGGCGGGGTAGTGGGGTTCTTCCTACTTCTCCCCTCTTCCAGATACACTGAAGTCCTCTTTGAATGTCAGTCGCAGAGTCACTAAGCACCAATCGTGGCATCCACATTCCTCCTCATCATTACAAACTACAGCTCAGGCAGGAAGGGGCCCCAGGAGCACAAAGTTACAGACACCAGAATTTAGCACCCGGTTTGTGAAACCTCTAACAGCAGAAACCAGCGACTCTACCAGTGATCAAGAAGCAACCAAACCACCACCGATTAATTCTACCCATGTGAAAACAAAATAAAAAAGAAGAAAGCCTGCAGTAGCTTCAGTAGAGTGTTGGTGAAAAGCATTACCCGCAAATCACTGATCGAAAAGAGAGCTCATTTGGCCTAAGTGTAGTGAATGTGTCATGAATTTGAGTGCCCATTAGTTAAATCTAAATCTGCTTTTTTGACCCTATATGTTATCTTTATACCCTATAGTTTTAGTTTTAACCAAACCCACAAGCTGTATTTCTTCATAAGAAGTCCAGAAAAAAACACTGATCAGACACATACAAGACAGCAAGTTAAAAAAAAAAGGCAGTAAGAAGAGCTGGATTGGCAATATGAGTAAAACATGGCTTTTATGTTGGTATCTGAGAGCAGAGGGCAAAAGCATTGGGAGTTAGAATTGCAAGCTTATTATGCTGTTAACCCAGAGCTGAGTGTTTATAGTGCATAATGAGAAATGCAGTAAAACAGAGAAGCATGCACCACTGCAAGCTGGAGGGAGACTCAAGTTTAGGGAGGAGGGAAACTACAGGAGCCATAGCTGGTGGGGTAGCATGGAGTGATGGGTAACGGAATGCGGTGCCGAGGATCACGAACCTGGCACATAGAGGATGGCATTGCCCTCGTCCATGGCAAACATGTTGGAGCCTGTGCAAACGTAGACGCCTGCATCCTCGGGCTGGACATTCTGAATTGTCAGAATGCCGTTGAAGTCCATGGCCCTGTTGGGCAGCTTCCCGTTACCCATACGGGTCCACACCAGGGTGTAGGCTGGAGACTGTCGGGGGGATGAGCAGACAAAGATGCATAAATCACAACATGCATGCAGTCTCAAACATGGGAGAAAAATGTTCTTGTTGTTCAGCTGCAGACCAAATTTAAATGTTCTGTTGTATCTGCTTACAGCATCATGGCAACATGCACCAACACTACCAACATGTACTTTCTATTCTACATAAACTTCAGCGCAATGCACCACAGTTTTAGTAATAATACAAAACATTTAGTTAAGTTAAACTAAAACTAGCCTCTCAGCAAGAAAATTAATAAAGAGTATTTCCCAAAATGTCAAACTATTCCTAAGTGTTTTTATTAAAAAATAATCATCGACTAGTGTTACCTTGCTCTTTGCAGTACAGATGAAGCTGACAGTAGACCCAACCCTGACAGTCTGGGCTTTGGGCTCCTCAACTGTCACCTCAATGGGTTTGGATTGACCTGGTGAAATGCAGAGACCAGTTTATACTTATGCTCACAAATATATATATAGTATTTCAAATTACAAAGTAAAAGCAAACTGACCAACACTTATAGAGCCTGTAACAAAAATTTTAATGATAATAATAATTATATTAATATATATTATATAATTTTTATGTGTGGATAACACTAGTAAAAAATCTATTTATTAACCTTATTACAACTTAAGGTCACGTCTAATTCGTCAGTTAATTTCTTACTGCTAGCTCTATTATGCATATATTATCCCCAGCACCTTCAAAACTCCAAATAACAAGAATGAGCCACACCACAGTCAGCTAAACTGAAGAATGAGGTCTTACATAATCCATGCATAAGCAAACCCATGTGTTGAACCACGGATGGTCTCTATTTAGTGTGCTGCAATAAGCTGCACGACAGAAAGGCCTATTCGCCAACAGTGAGCCCATACACACTTGTGACAACAATTTCAGCACGGCTCCTGTTGGTGCTTCGTTGGTCTCTGCAGGTACAAACGTAGACGCCGGCATCACTCGGCTGGACGTTGGGGAAGTACAGCTCTGCTCCTGCACGCACAGATGAGCAACAGGTGTCGTATTCACACATAACATGTCATTCTATGTATATGAATTATATGCAATTTGTTCAGATCAGTTAAGTCAGAACTTTTATAACTGTATTTCAAACTAAAAGAAAGAGAAATTTTAATGTATGTCTTTCCATGCCACACTAGTCATGTTGTTGAAGTGTGCGATATACCTTGTCTGCGTCTGTCAGCACTGCCGGAGATAGGTCGTCCATCCTCTCTGGACCAGTAGAAATAGTGTGGAGGATTGCCGGACACCTGACACCGGAGAGTGACAGGGCCACCCTGAGATGCCAGGACCCTCTCTGGATAAACCTTCACCACCAGGGAGGCTGCAGCTGCAAGGTGCAAAGGTCATAGCAAACTCATCAGGAATACTCTTAGAATAACAAAACTAATGGCATCAGAGTGCTAGAGAGAGCTCAGACAGTAAAGTTACGCTTCTTATTTCTCAAAACAGACACAAAAATTCTGCACATCTATTTCATGAGGCAGGTGCGTAGGAGTGGAATGAGCATCCAAAAGTAGAAAAGATAAATTTGTCTGATGAAGGTCTAGTACCGAAACGTTAGAAATTAATGTTTGTACTACAGTTTAGACAGTATTTAGACAGTTTTTTTTCTCACAAAGCAAAGCTGGGCACCATTTAATGGTGACTAGTGTTTTTAGCTAACCTGGTCAAGGGGTAAGTGTAAAGGAATAGTTAGACATTTTGGGAACTATTCCTATTCACTTTCTTCCCGAGAGTTAGATTAGAAGATTGACACTGCCTTATCTTTCTGTTGAATATGAAGCTACGGCTACGGTTGAGGGTTGACTTAGCTGAGCATGAAGATTGGAAATGGGGTGAAATAACTAAACTGGCTGTATCAAAAGGTAAAAAATACGACTACCAGCACCTCTAAAGCTCAGACATTAACACATAATATCTTATTTGTTTAATCCGTACAAAAACCAAAGTATGAACATTAGAAGTTGTGGTTTACTCAGGTTTATGTGCTGGAATATTTCTTAGGTGCAATGACTTCCTGGAGTCTCTGCTGGTTGACTGGCAACCTCACTGTAATGTAAAGATTCTGTGGTTGCCAGGTTGCATCCCTGGATTGGCTGCTTGTCTTCATTAAACTGCATTGTTATTTTGCTGTGAGGGATGTTTGTTTGTGGTGTTTTCTGCCTTGGATAGTTCTTTGTGTACCCGTAATAAGCCTGCCTTTTACAGAACCACGTGTCCTGCAAAATCATGCCAAACTTAATTAATTGTACCAGGATAAGTCACAGGTTACTGCAACTGATCTAAACAGGAGTGTGAAGTCACAATTAATTAAGTTCTTAGTCTCATTTGTGAAATACCCTTGTGGCAGGTTCATTTTCAGCAGCACTGTGCTACAGTAAATATTTGAAGCACAGCACAGGCATTTTATTTTCTCTTGGGAACAAAAGCACAATCTTGACATTTTTCATATTTTCTATCATGAACATGAGGAGTATTTGTAAAGCAAAATGTAGCCTAACCATCGTATGGACGACACTTCTCTCTTTCCTGTGGGTTGCCAACATATCCAGGAGCACAACTGATGAAGGTAAAAACAGACACAGAAACAAGACTTAACCACAGAGTTAAGTCAATGACAATGTTTCATCCATCTCAGGTTTTGATTGAAATTCTTGTCATGGCACTCGTGAACTAGTGAAAACTGCAGTTTGTCCTATTGTGACACTAGGTTCAATTTATCAAAAGGAACTGCTTAGAACAATTTCAGTGACCACCACATCAAGAGAACACGTTGGGTTTTCTTACCGTTCACAGTACTGGCCAGTGTACCCAGGCTGACAGGCCGTACACTGGTAGCCTCCATTTCCAAGGCTCTCACAGGTGGGGGAGAACCTATTACAAGAGGGACACACACAAACAAGAAGGTAAATTCTGGTGCAGAGACGTGGTTTAATATCAACCAAACCTCACAAGTAATTTAGTATCGCATTGATCTTTTATTGACTGGAAAAAATCTATATAAGACAATTTCAGGTGTTTCGGAAGTTTCCGAGACACAACTATAAATGTTTTGTGACACGTCGGAGTAGGGTAAAGGAATCAAATTATGACGCTTGATTAAAAAACTGTGGATTTGCACTAAAACCAACTGCCTGGAAAAGTCCCATTTTACTGAAAGATTTCTTCAATATACTGAAGCTTTTCAGTGAGGATACCAAATCCGATGATTTCAGTAGGAAACAGGATGTACAATATTTCAGTTAGTAGGCAGGATACAGATACAGAAATGAATAAGGTTCCATGATTTACAAGACAGCAGAATTTGCTGTAAACAAGATCAAGTGAGCCAGATACAGAGTTGTCTTGAGCTATAAATGGAGGTGGAATGTGAATGTCTTGGTATCTGTGCCAGTACTCACTGGTTGTCTGGGTCAGTGTGAGGGCAGGCACAGGGCTGGCAGTCCTCTGGAGTGCCAACAGTGGGGTCACCAAAGAAGCCAGGAGCACACTGCTCACAGAGCTCCCCCTGAGTGTTATGCAGGCAACTCTGAAAGGAGTAACGTATCGTGTTTAGAGCTCTGTCCATCTCATCAGGGTGCTATACAAGACCAATGTCAGTCTAGTGCTTCATACCGTGCAGATGCCAGTCTCAGGGTGGCAGGAGTCAGAGTGGCCATTGCATTCACAGAGCTCGCAGTGGCCCAGGTATAAACCTCCTCCTGTGCGAGTATATCCAGGTGCACAGTCCTTAAAGAGACATTGTGATTTAGAAAATGATACATGGATTATAATGAAGCACAATGGGCCCACAATGCTTCCAGTGAAGTCAACAATTAAGAAGAATTTTGCTAAATTCTGAATGAATAATTACCTGGCAAGAGAGCCCCTGGTATCCAGGTGGGCAGCGGCACTGCTCCACCTCGAGGGCCTGAGCCAAGCCACTGTAGTTAGGCACAGCAACTTCCATGCTGATATCAAAGATACTGGAGGACCGCATCTCTGTGGAGTAGGATGCTGGAATCAGGATGTCGTCAAGGTCAGCCAAAACCATCATCAGGTGCTCTCGGGTGGCGGGCATGTCATCAGGACGACGCCAGTTTTCCTGAGAAACCAAACGAAAGCTTTTTGTTGGATGAAGTGTATTTTGCAATACAAACATTAAGTTATCATTATAATTTATTTATTCCATCAGCAAAATCTTCGTTTTGCTTGCCTTTCTCTAAGAAAGTATGGTCACAGGCCACTTCAAAAGACCAGATGCTTGATGAAACACTTTCTGTTCAGCAGTGCTGTTACTCACCTCTCTGAAGACAATCTCAAACTGCTGAGTCTCTCTGCTGCCCTGCACTCTCCTCTGCCAGGGCAGATGAGCTACCAGAGTGATGTCATTACCCTGCAAGAACAACACTGACAGATGAGTAAGTGCTACAAATGCATGTAACCACGGGAGACAACAGTGATTTATGCATGAGGGCAGACTCACAATAATCTGGATGTCACCATCGTCAAGTAGTCTTCCTCTTGGACCAGCCACATAGGAGATGGTGTATTTAAGCCTACCGCCGTAGGAACCCACCTAAAACATGGTTAGCAAGGAAGAGGCTTTAGATCTTTTGCCAGGTCAAACAGCGGTGCAATTCCCAGGATGAAACAGAAACATTAAACGTAGCAAACATCAATGCCAGATGGCTACTTAGAGCAACACAGTGTGTGCAGTTGCATCAAATCCGATGCATATGTGAGGGTGACCATGTTAACAGGATTTAGTTTATTTGTCATGGAGGGTACCACTCAGCCTGTGAAACAGTTGTATAATGTCTTCTGTGACTCAAAAGGAAGCTTTCTAAAGCCTAAATACAGACATTGAGTGGGGTTATCTGAGCTTGGGTTCAGGCTTAGACATAAAGCCTGTGTTACAAACTGGGGGTGTGGGGTTTGAATGAAGTGGGCATTTAGAACGCAGGAGGGTTCTCATTCAAAATGCTATCCCACTGAATTATGGGAATTGTAGGACACAAGGTTTTTGGAGCTTGATCAATACTAGAGATAGTCCCCCAAATTTGTGCTGAATACTATTAAATAATACCACATCACTGGAGAAACCGTTTAATGAGACAGAATACAATTATAAGACTTCTGGCGTTTGTAATTTGAGCTGTTCTTGGATTAAACGTCAAACCATGGACAGCCAAGCAGGTGAAACTCAAGAGTTGTAAGGACTATTTGTAGTTTTTATATTTAATTGTAACAGATGAAGTGTGTGGAACAAAAAAAACTTGTCATGGTAACATAGCACAAGCATCTCTTACTACAGAGGAGGAATGTAGAAAGTCAATAGGACACTTGGAGGGAGGGCTGGGACAAAGTTAAGAGGGCACAGGGAGTGTGGGCATGGGAGGGCCTGGATGGAAGGGAGGATGAGGATTGAAGGACAGTGGGGAGGATGGGGGATACTAAAGGTGGTGTTTTTTCTGTGAGCTAGAAGGGTTGACCAGAAGTCAGGAGGGGACATCACCCCAAAGTTTTCACAGTTACCTTATCCCCTGTGAACTGCGCTGGGAGCTGCCAGTAGAGCAGATCATCCTGGTGCAAGCTGAAACCTTTGTAGACCAGAGTGTACTGAGAGGCAGAGGAGGAAGGAAAGGCATAAGAAAATAAGCCACAGATGAAGAGAGAGGCAGCGAAACTAAATCATAAGCAGGCAGAGAAGCAGTACAAGCAGGCAAGCATGGCCAAGAGTAAAGCCCTACAGGAATCTCGGGACAAATGTGTGACATGCAGCTAAACTCTTTTAACTACATGTTCTCTCGTACTAGTGCTATTAAAGGCTCCGCTGACAGTTTGATAACAGCACAGAAGTTGCACAGTGCTTTGTCTGACAACTAAAACAACAACTTCCACTGTCAATAATGAAAAAATGACAGCTTAAGATGTGCCTCACTAAGAGGCTGTTTAAAACCACACAACAGTATAATGACAGACCATTGTAAAACCAGTGTTTCTCTCAAAGTGGACAATTACAGTGACAGCACTGAGTGGGAGCTATTTGCCTAACAAAGGAAAATACCACCCAGTCAAGCACTGGAACTATGTGAATTATCCACTCATGGTAACAATAAACTAAGTATATTCTGCACTACTTAGTAGATCATAATTTAAATCTGTCAGGTTCTGGACTACACATTAACTGCCCTGGACAAACTGAGAACAGTTGGTTGTTAATTGAATTTCCCTCGGGATAAATAAAGTATCTATCCATCTATCTAATTAACTTTTAAAGCTAAAGTCAAAGACACCATTAGAGTTTCCTAAAAGGCCAAAAAACGATGTCAGCCAGTCAGTCATGCCACTGTCTACCTTGCTGCTTGTCCCAGAAGCACTAGAAGAAGTCTTGCTCAGTGTGTTCTTGCTCTGTTGATCCACAGCAGGGCCAGACCCCAAAGAGAAATACCAGAAGTCACCAATATGGCCAGGAAAAAACAAAAAGGCTCGTAAACCTCTTGAAATCTCTGACAGAATGTACCTGCAGACGAGGAGTGTAGCCCGGGGAAAAGGGTTGGGGTCTGGTTGGTTTAACTGAAGAGGAGATACCAGATGGAGGAGAAGGGGGGCTCAGGTTACGCAAACCAGACCAGTGAGAGGAGGAGGAAGAAGTTGGGACCCGAGAAGAACGAGAAGAAGAAGAGGACGAGAAAGAGGAGGAGGATTTGGAGGAGGAAGGAAAGAACGGAGGGGGACCAGCTTGTCTATTGGAGAAGTTAGAGAGGAGCGCCCAGACCTCATCATCCAGCTGTCTGACACCACCCTGGGGAGCCGGAAAAGTGTGGTACCGCAGATACAAAAGATACGTCACCACAGGAACAGTCAAAATGAAGGAGGCAGGGTTTAGAAATTTGTTCTTTCACAATGTACATTGATGTACATCACTGTTAGAAGGTGAACATGCTGAATCATGCTTTCTAGTCTATGATACTCAGATGTGCTGTACAACAAGGCTCTGGTGAATTGCTCTCACATCCAACAGTCTGATAAAACACCTAAATCAACCACTTTGTTGCACTGTAGAAACTTTCCTGTGACTTTGCGTAACAACTCAGACCTCTTTGTGATTCACACACATGCAATCGCACACGCAGAGTCTGACAACATGCTCCGACCTTCATCAGACCGAGGTGATTCTCCATGCTGCTACATCTATGAACCGTGGGGATTTATTTCCATAGATGTCCACAAACTCTCAGTGTGTTAGCTTATAACGACAATGTGCATGGATTATTCTTATTAGACGTGTGAGTCTTGCCTTCACTGCAACGTTCATACCAAATACCTGGCTAGCTCTTTTGGATCTGTTGGTGTCTTTACGTCCAGAGGCCATTAGGGTCCAAATAGAAGCATCCTTCCTTAGCTGCTCCTCTGGCAAATGCGAGTCACTCTATTGTTGTGGATAAAGCAAGCTCTTTGATCACTTTCCTTATCACTGAACTGATGGTATTTGGGTGTGTTATGGCTGTGTTATTCGAGCAAAGTTAAGCTGTATGAAGCTCTTAAATGGACCATTAATGATCAATCCATTTGCAAGGGTCATGTGATGTGGAGCAGAAAGCAATTTCTGTTTGCAATATGCACTACGATGGCGACTTTCGGCTGCAAACTTCATACACTGCTGTAAAATACCATGCTTCTAATAAATAATTCAGTAAACATCAATCAACATCACACATAATGTGTATCCATGATATATGAATATGCGCCACATAAAAATTACAATATATGGCATCCAGTATGTCACACAATGCCATATCAATAGTTATTTCAAACATGCCAAACAATACTGTACTCCAAACAAAACCTACAGTCACAACATGACAACCTGATTGACATTACTGTACCTGCTCTGCTCGTTTCACGCGAGCAAAATAAGAATCTTTCTATAGAGAGTGGAGGGGTAAACACAAAAAACGGACAGCTATGTTATGTAAGTGAAAACTGGGGCCATTCAATCTGTGCACATCATTTTCCCCTGTGAACACAGACTCAAGAAGATGAAAACAAAATGTAGCATTGGCAGCAAAGAAGTTGCACACAGAGTGAAAAGGCAGTCTGAAAAGAAGTTTGCTTGAAAAGAGAGATTGGCTGAGGTTTGAAGTAAGACAAAGCAGCAAAATGGAGACAGCCACAGAATAAGAGTGGTCTACGGTTTCTGATGAGTGCTGCTCAGCCCCTTATATACATCATTAAGGGGTTCATGGTCTTGCTTGAGCTACTTCCACTGATTTAGCAGCTCTATGTGTTCTTTGACACTGACCTTGTCTCCCTGGTAGACCCCTGGAAGCTGCCAGTAATGAGGCTCCTGTCCCAGGTAGTCAAAGTTGCTGTAGGACAGCTGAGTGCCTTCGGTGGAAACCTCCACAGTGAAACCAGTGGAGATGCGGTTGGTGCGTTGACGGTTCACCAGAGCAAATCCCTGGAAGTTCCCTGGAGAAAAGACTGAGGACACCTGCAAGAGCACATTTGAAATGCCATCAAGCTCGAGTAGAAGATACAGTAAAACACTAATTTAAGCAATATGGCTCCACAAGTGAATTAGTCTCAATTAGTCCCCATGTTAAAATGCCCAACTTCAAAGCAGAAATAAACATGTCTACAGCCTGGTTCAAAAAACAGTTAGGTCTCTATAGCTAATTTCCTCTTCCGTGACAGCAGTATAAGGGGGCTTGTAAGGCTTAAAGTTATGCATAATTAAGGGCGTGACCGCTTTGAGTACCAGGTGGGTGCTGTCACAGGTGGCTAGTTTCAGCAACCAGGCTTCATTTGGCCTGCTTCAGCTCCACCCACGCTTCATGTCTTTGCCAATTGGATTAGCCAGGAGCTGGGGGCACTGCCAAGATGGTGGCAACCAGAGCTGACCACACTGAACCTCAAAACAGCTTTTCAGAAACCTGCAGGTGATGTCACGGGGACTTCAAGTTCAACAGTCAAAACCTTGAAGTGATTGTGGTGTTAAGAAAGATGATGTAATAACTAATTCCAAAAAGTATACTTGCATTTATCAGACTGACCTCTAACAATGTGCGGACTGTCATAATGACTGACTTATCATTTCTTTAGCAAGTGACTATCCACTAATGTAAAGAGTGTTATAATTCTCACTTCATTTCTCAATGCAGGCAGAAGCAACAGTGTTTTGCTTGCCAACACATTAAGCTGTTTTTTATTTTATTTGCATGTGTAAGGCTTACTCTAATTGTGATGTTTATATGGGCCGTTATTGACTTCATGTTCTTCACCCATTTGTATTGTGGAAGTTTTTGGAGAGACAAGAAGTCAGAAGTGACCCTGATATTCGCTTAGCAGGAGAGAGTGGGTGCGCAGAAATAATTGCCTACATGGGGGGATATCTGCCAATCTCTGGCCAACCCCACTGATGGATGTGATTTTACTGGCTTGGAACCACTTAAGGCTGGTGTGATGAGGGCGGATTTAAACTTTCCTGAATTTAGACCACACACATCTTTTCTCTCTGAAGTAAATGTTTAACTCACTTGCTGATATAATCTTCACTACTGCATACTAGATGCTTTATCCAGTGCAAACTTACATTTGGTTTGGTTGTTCAGAGGTTTAAATGGTATGAGCCATTGCACTGTTGCTGTGTCATGTACTACTTAAAGGCCTTACCAGGTCTCTGTAGTAGGTAGAGCTGGAGCACTGCTGAGTGACGCCCATACAGAAACAGGACAGGCAGCCATCCTTGTTTTCCGAGCTGAGATGGAAGGTTGCAGACTTACAGCTGGAGCAAGATGGGCCTTCAACGTTCATCTGCAACACAGTATTAAGGATGAGATACAAGGCAATCAATCCATTCTACTCTGCAAAATCCAAGTGTCTTTGTTTGATCACCTTGCAGCGGCACACACCACCACTGCAGCCTTCACTTCCTCTTTGGTCACAGTTATAGCAGTTACCTGTAATAGGACAAAAGAGAAGATTTATATTGCTAGCCGTTCTCTATTTAATGACACTGTTGAATCCAGATTAATAACATGAAGGGAATCTTTGCAACTTTTGATAACATAATAATATGAAGATGGAGCAATATCTGTCATGTTCCTGAATCAAAATAAAGTGTGTACCATTGACTTCATTGCTGCCAACACTACATCTCTGTCCAAGCAGTGGGTTGCCAGTGTATCCTGCAGCACATCTGAAATAAAAATACACAATGTTTTTGAGTAAATATTTCCAGTCAAGGAGGATACAAGTTTTAACCCCAAACCACAATGAGGCAGGAAGCTGGGAAGTCTGCAAGAGGTGATACATTTGATAAATCGTGTCCTTCTGGGAGTCTTCTTGACCCAAGGCAGACATCAACCACGAACAAAGGACTGAGTCATCCAAACAAAGAACATACAAACTATTCTGTTATTCCATCTAGCAAGTTCTTGACCTAAAAATCTGTCACCAAGCTTTTTTCCCAGAAAAAAAAAGATCATGAAATATTGCTTGCACGGAAGATGGATGAAGCACAGCCACTGCTAAAACACTCAACATGTCTCAAATGTTGATTCCATCTCTCACATGAGCGTTATACAGCTGAAACTAAGAAACACCTTTGCACAGGAACAGACATGTTAACATTAACAGAGAATCAGGAAAATATCACCATAAAATAGAAGCTTCACAAATACATGACTGTTATGAGGAAAGGCAGAAATGAGTTGATATACTGAGATGCAGAAGAAGATGCTAAGTTGCTAAAGAGTAAAGTTATTTCTGATATTGTGATACAGCAAAGCAATATGCCTTTAGCCCAAGCAAACAACGCCACTGCCACCAGAGCAAAGGCTAATCCAACCACAGATCTGTGCAGGTTGCCCTGAGGACAGCCGCTGTCAGTCTTACCTCACCTGTCCTCTGGCAGGTCCGCAGGTCAACAGCCAACAAGAGAACTTCCATGCTATCAACTTGCTTTGGAAAACCCTATTCAAACTAACTTCTGAGATGTACAGTAGTTTCTAAAGTGTGGTTAACTCGGTCATTCCAGCCAGTGTTGTTTGGGAAATAGAAAATACATAAAAAAAATAGATATGACCATGTGAAAACAAAAAAGATTGACTAACTAAAGGCTATTAAGAAAGGACATACAGCTCATGATAAACACAACATGAAAAACAATGTGGTTTCCTATCACATTACAATTAAACTAAACAGTCTCACAAACAATTTGGACTTCTTTTCTAAAATCATATAGATCTTGGTCTGGGTCTATGTATAATAACATCTCGCTAAATGCTGATGAAATGACAGTTCTTTGGTGATAGTCCAAATATGGCTAGTGGAAATACTGAGCAATAATCATCCAATGCTTTGGTCTTACATTGCCATGCAATTGACTATGGATATTCATGGTCCCCACAAAATAAATCCAGTTGCTTTCAGGTGCATCTGGCCTTTCTTCTACTGCCACCATTGGACCCAAATATTAACAGCTACATAAGTAATATCAATATTGAATGCACCATTTGCAGTAAAATGTCATGTTCCACAGAGGATGATCCCCTTCCACTAAGTTAGGGAATCAGCAAGATCATTACAATTCTCCTCTGGGAACCATAAATGTCTGTAACAATTTTCATGGCAATCCATCAGTCTGAACCGAGTTGGGGGATCAACAGATTGACACTGACATAACGAGATAAGAATATGTTTTTTTCTCTTTCAAACTTTTCATATTGATGCATATAACATATATATAATAATATATATAATATTATTATTGCAACATGTAGCAGGATTTTGGATTGTTAGTCTTGTTTATTATGTGCTGATTCTTCATCCATACAATTTAACATTTCAACTAATCTTCTTAAGACAATATAAAAATAAAACCCAAAATGTAGAACATGTTAGGGCTCTTTGAAAACATTCAGCACAGAAAGCATACACTGCAAATAACACGTCACTCTGTCCTTAAAATCATGGAGATGTAATGTTTCCGGACACCAACACATATCATTGAAAATACTATTAGAAACATACCCATATGAATGCAGGAAGCAAGGATGAGCATGAAATGTTTGGGGGTGATGCTTGTAAAACTTGAGGTAGTCTGGCCATAACATAATGGACAAAATGTATACACATAAGAGGTTCCACTGCTAAGCTAACTCTTCATAGCAGGATTTTGTGCAATAGTTTCTAATTATAATAAAATACACCTTAAAAGCCATTAGTATCAAAGTCATAGCACCACATCATGATGGCATTAACATTTGGAAAGCCCCTCTAAAATAACACAGTGTCATTAAATCAGTCCCTTCATAAACTTCCATTGACATGGTTGCAGTAGCAGATATAAATATCAGGATCAGAGACAAGACATAAACAAAGGAAAAAAATACAATAATGAAACAACACATAATTCCCTAGTCATCAGGGATAATTTTGATAGGAATGGCCAGCCTTCCCAAGACAACATGAAGAGAACCCTCTTGATTCTTTTTCTGCTTTGCAGTCTTGCGATTTCCATTTAACAGCTGCAGTAGTTCCAAAACACCAGAATGATGGTTTGTCTTCTTTTTCTGATGGGTTTTTTTGGTAACTTTCTTTACAGTGGTAGCCTTGGTTTTAGGGGGAGTTGATTTCCTTTTTACTGTTGTGTTAGACTTCCTCTTTGCAGTAATAGCCTTGGTTTTATGGGCAGTTGATTTCCTTTTTACTGTTGTGTTAGACTTCTTCGCAGTAGAAGTTTTGGTAGGTTTTGTGGTTGTAACTGTGTTCTTAGTGGAATCCTTTGTTTTGTGAGACACTATCTTATATGTGTTCTGTTCAGTCTTTTTCTCATTTTGGTTAAAGTTACCCTTGTGTTGCTTTGACGATTTCTTTGAATCACCTTCTGAAGACCTTCCACCCTCCTGAACTTTTCGTGGAACTGGTGCATCAGATCTAAATGCCTTGACGCGTCCATTGTTTTTGATGGGTAATGCAGAACCCTTTTTATTAGCCTGGTCAGGCTTTGAAGGTTTTGATTTGTGAGACGGTGGCTCCAGTTGAAATTTTGTGATTGTTGCTTCTTTTTTAACTTGCTGTGGTTTTGTTTTGCTTGGCTGGGAAACATGTTTAGCTGTCACAGTGGCCTTTTTAACATCTGGCCTTTTTGTTCGAGGCTTTACCGTAGCTTGCGATTTAGATTTTGAAGTAGTCCTATATTTGCTCTGGGTGGTCTTCAACTTGATCGTTGACCTTGTTGAGACTTGACCTTTGGAGGACCTAGTGACTGATGGGAACTTGTTTTTTACTGATGAAGTGGTGGCTGCTGATTTTAGTTTTTTCTCTCTCTGTGGAGCAGAAGTAGGTTTGTTCGCGGGGAGGCCTGGGGTAGGTATGCTTTTGGGTACTGTGGCTCTACTGGTGAATGGTTTTTTAGTAGGTATAATTCTGACTGGAGGCTGAGGTGTTGAGTACATTGGGAGTGCAAGGACTGTGGCGAGTGAAGGCAGAGCCCTCTTTTCTTGGGGCGAACGGGAAGTGTGTCTAGCACGTTTCATCTTGTTCATCTCCTGAGCCAGGGCAGTGAAGCCGTCAATCAGGATCTCCAGCCTTCCCTCCAGTCTGCTCAGACGGGCATCCATGTCTGTGTAGCTCTTCTCCAGCTCGCTAACCTTCTTGCTCTTCTCCCCAGCCAACTGGATAGCAATGAGTTCCTTCAGCTGAGAGCTAAGATGTCTCTGCTGGTCCTCCATACTGTGAATGCTCTCCTTCATATCAAGCGTGTTTCTTTCTAGCATGCTCAGGCGCTGGTTGAAGGTGTTCATGTGAATCCTGAGCAGCTGCTGGAAGCTGGAATGTCTGCTCTCTGGGCTGGGCGTAAAACGTGGTGGGTGTCTGGTTGCTGATCTGTTGGCGGCGATTGAAACAATACCCACCCCAGCTGCTGTAGTGGAACGGGTAGTGCGACGGTGAGCTGCAGTAGACAGTAAAGTCCTAGTAGTAATGAGGATTGATCCCGCAGTGGTAGGCCATTGGTAGTTAATGTCATCATCATCATCATTTCCACTGCCATACTGTACTATCTCTTTCTCCCAGCTGAAATTGAATACTGCTTCAGCTCCACATCCCACAGGTAGAAGGCCTTCTATCGGCTTCTCCAGGAAGGGATCCCCACAACTGTCTGCAGACGGTCTCTCTTCTCTTAAGGTCAAAACAGTAGAATCAGGCATGAGGCAGGCAGAGACGTTCAAACAATAAACTATCTGTATATTTCGTCTTACACCCAAGTCACCTCGTCATCTTTGCCCTTGGAGCGGCAAAGATTGATTAGCCAGACAGGTGTCCTCATAAATGTTACATCTACATTTATGTTGTAGAGACCCAGAAAATACATTTGGTCTGTGCACAAACAGAGATCACACGAGCCAACACCTTAAAATTTCACTACTAGCGAAGCACAAAGCTGAAGCAGAAAGCCACCTCTGAGAAGGCTTTTGGCAGTAAAGCAAAGGACAGAAGAAAGCAAAAGTATGATCTAAAGCCAACTAAACTTAAGGTTTCCACAGGACATACAGCACTTTTATGCCTCTTTGGCAAATTTATTTTCCACGAACAATAAAATCTGGGTGATGACATTCTCAGTACCACCAAAGATCCCTTATCCTATAACAAAGATACATTGTTCTTCCACACCAGAAATGACCTCACATTTTGCAAATCAATAAATTCAAGAAAACAATATCTACCAACAGATCAGGAAAAACAGAAGTCCCAAACAGTCCTAAACTTTACAGGTACATCAGAATGGGTGGCACCAGTTTGCATCTCCCATCCCTCAACTGCCACCACTCTATCACAACTGCCGGGAAATAAACAAGATAGATGCGAACCACAAACATGCTTATATCCCTTTTCTGTGAATGAAACCACTTGGTGCTACTGCCATCCCCTGCTAACCTTGCTGCCGGCCTGCCCAGTAACCCCAAACACTGAGCAGTGTCCAGAGGACCATGAGAGGAAGAAAGAAGAAAAGTAAACGCAGAAACAGAAGTAGGTGTGCTTACCTTTCGCAGCGTCGGCCAGTGTATCCAGGGGGACAGTTGTCACAGGTCGGCTGACCATCAGACTCCAGATAACAGGTCGGGGAGAATCTGTGGGTCATCAGGATGCTCGTTTTGGCAGTACTCATATACAGTTTGATCTCTGGGCACACAGTTTACTTTGCCTCGTCTAGCATTAAGCAACAACATGGTTAACAGTCTATACTTGACTTAATAAAACTGACACAAGTTGAAAAGACTTTAAGACATGAACTCACTGGTTGCTGGAAGCTGTTCCAGGACAGGGGCAGGGTTGGCAGGCCTGAGCACCTCCCGTTACAGGGTTTCCATAGAAACCAGACTGACAGCGCTCACACCTTGGCCCGGCGGTGTTATGGAGACATTGCTTTTGGTCAGAACATACACAAATAAGGAAGGTTAGATCCATGGAACAGTTGAATATACAGTACTTGCAAGTGACAGTGTGTTTCCACATGTTGGGATTTGCCAAGAAACCATTAGTGCATTCCAATGCATGAGATCAAAGCAGGTTCACCGTTGTCAAAGAATTGAGAGAGAAGAAGAGGAGAATAAAACTTACCAGACACCTGCCGGTCTCTGAGTCACAGCTGCTGGCGTGACCATTGCAATCGCACCTCTCACAAGTGCCCAGGTAAAGGCCAGAGCTGGTCCGAGTGTAACCTTCATCACACTCCTGTAACAACGTGGAAAAACACCTCAGGTGAGAGACAAGTGATGACGAAGAGGAAGTGTCTTTGTTCCACTGCAGCAGGGAGCCAGACTGCAATTATAAGGACTGTAATGGAAAAGTCTTAACTGTGTTATTCTTAACAAGATTAGGCATATCTGTGCCTTACACTCCTTTTTCAAACTAAAGCTAAATTAAACTTATCTAGAGCATGAAGGTTTATTTTTGACCTTGCTAATAGATTCTTACCCCCAAGTACACTTTCTAGCTTTTTTCTTAGCTTTTAACATAATCTCTTAGTCTTCATCAGCAAATAGAGTTTGCTCAAATGTCATGGAGATAGCTCAGTTGTGATCCTACCATACTGATAACAAATAACCCATTGCAACGACAACTGTGCAGGCTCCATCTGGTGATGGAGCTCCAAATAAGCTATGTGGACCTTAAATTGAGTTTATTTATTTTTTTAATGAAACTACTTCTCCCAAATCTGCATGTGTACCTGGCAAGAGGGTCCTCTGTATCCCTGAGGGCAGGCGCACTCTTCCACCTCCAGAGCACGTTCATTACCAGTGGATTGGGGAACAGCAATGTCCATCTTGATGTCTGAGATACTATTCAACACAAAAAACACAAAATGAACAATATTCTTTATATTTACCATTAAGTGCAACCATCTTGGATTATTTTAAAGGTGTATGAATGAGCGGTGACAGAGTAAATTTTCACCATACCTGCTCTCAACCATGTTGTCTGCATAACTAGCCCTGATCATGAAGACGGTGACATCAGCCAGAGCCATCAGCAGGTGCTCGCGAGTACACGGCTGCCCATCAGCACGACGCCATGCAGACTGTCAGCCAGAGGGATGGAGAATGGAGAAAAGAGAAAAGTTAGTCTACTAACATTGTGTGAGGATTCAGATTTAGCTGAGCATTACTTCCCTATGAACAGTGAAACACACCTCTCTGAAGGTCACAGTGACAGTTTGTGGGACACGTGGGAGAGGCTTGGTTTGAGAGTAGTGTTCCAGGAAGATGCCATTGCCCTGGAGAACCACATCTGGCTGACCGTCAATCACCAGCGAGCGCTGAAACGGTTCAAAGCGTACTGTGTAGCGAAGCTCCCCGCCATAGGCCGTCACCTGGTAGCAACATGGTGAAAAGAGAAGCTCATCTCAACACAAGTGAACAGTGGAAAGGTATTTCACCCCTATGATAATGTGGGGGAAGTCACAAGACACCCATGTTGGGCTTGACTGTGAATTCAAGCCAGAGGTTCAAAGGAAGCTCGCTGTGTGGATAAGTGCAGCCTTTTCACTTGACAACATGTTGAGGCATGAGTGAGTGCGACAAAAAGGGCAGAGAAATCAATTTTGACAAACACTTCACTTTTTTCCCTCTCCTCTCCCCTTGCTTGCTCTCTACTTTGTTGTTTTTCTCTCACCTTATCTCCTCTGAAGCTTTCAGGCAGGACCCAGTAGTAGATGTCTTTAGGGACACTGGAGAAGGAGCGGTAGACAACTTCAGAGGAGCCCCTCTGGGAGATGCCTTCAGAGATAGTTTTAGTGTTGGCTCCGTTGGAGAGGGAGAAGAGCTGCCCGTTCACCCCTCCTCGCACCTGGTAAACAGAAACAATTGTCTGAATGAGATGAACTGAGATTTATGTCCTTGCACTTGAGCACAATCAATGTTTGCACATTGCTTTTCAGCATTTACCATCTGAAAGGATTTGCTGATACAGCATGACTGCACAAACACTGAGTCAAACCTTGATACCAAAAATATTCTGCCCTCTATTTACCATTAGTAGCTTGGCAACGTACCTGATCTCTGTTCCAAGTGGAACTGGCGCACTGTTTGGTGACACCCATACAGAAACAACGTAGACAGCCCTCGGGATTGGCCTCTGATAGGTGGAAGAACCCGGGCTTACACTCGTCACACAGAGTGCCTACCACGTTGTTCTGCACATACACACAGAAACAAACACATGCACATATGTAATCCATCTGCCTGTCAAGCACATTTCTTTCATCGAAGAAAAAACAAACAGTAAGACACGTCAGCCTCACAAACCACAAATGAACAACAGATTTCACAATAAATTATCATAATATAATTGTTTCATTTCAGTGAGCAATCTGCCATATTGCATGTATACCTTGCAGCTGCATGGCCTGCTGTTGGACCTGATAACTCCTCTGTTATCACACTTGGAGTTTTCTGCAGGGAGAGAGCAGTAGAAAGAAGATGACATGTGGGGAGGAAAGTGCACCTGGGAGTGTTCCAGCCATTCTGCATACCTGAGCTATGATCACATACTACAGCCTACTGTGACACCAGGGGGAAAGCTATAGTAATCATTACACAGGGTTAAGACCTCCTCATAGTCATATCACTGGATGACTGAAGAGTACAACAGATAAAACACTCCAGGTACAGTTTCTGTCAATTTCATGCCTTGTAATGAGAATTTCAAAAATGTTGTTAAAGGTATACTCACGGTTAGGAACACACTTTCCATTAGGCAGAAGGGGGTTACCCTGGTAACCAGGGGCACACCTGAAATACAACAAAAATGTAAGAAATATGACTAACCTATTTACCACACGCATGTGTTATAGCTCTGCTGATTCTGCTTGTTACAATAAATCTTCATTCATCAAAATTGACCTCTGCAGACTTTTTTTTGTGCACTTTGGAAGTAGGTTGTGCAGGAAATCCCTAGTCTACTATTTCTCATAAACCACATAACTGCCATCTCCAAACTATTTGAACTGCAACTCAAAGGCACAGTTAACAATATCAGTTTCCTCACTTTTCACAGCGTCTTCCTGTGTAGCCGGGCCTGCAGGCGTCACATGTTGGTTGTTGGTCAACATCCAGGAAGCAGGTGTCAGAAAACCTACAAAGTCGAATGAAAAAGAAAAGCAGTGGTTAAATGAGTAGCACACTGAATGAATAAACCAGCAATGAAATATCTGAATGAGCTCAGCTTTTTGAAATAAAAATCTGACCGAAAAATTCATTCATTCTTTCATCTCACTGATGCCTTGTGTGTGGTATGTAGGTGAATACTGTATGCGTGTGTTGTGACGACCCTCTACGCCCTGAGATTTGGTTTTGGTGTGACGGTTTAATATGTTTAATGTTGCTGCACTTACAACATAGCACTCATACGCTTCTGCACTCATACACTCACTTACACCACTGCTCTCACTGATTTCACATACTGCAGTTTAAGTTTTAATCTTTGCCTAAATAAATAATTAGCTAATTGGCTTGGTTGTGTGCGTCTCCCTTCTTTGTCATGGCTGTACGGCCCGTTTTGTGACTGTGTGTGTGTGTGTGTGTGGTCTGGATGGGTCTGTGACCTTACCGGCGTGTGGTCTCATAGTACGGGCAGGGGCATGGCTTGCAGTCTTCGGGGCGACCTCTGCTCGGGTCACCAAAGTAGCCTGACCGACACTTGTCACACTGAGGGCCCTCTGTGTTGTGCTGGCAGCTCTGTGGCAGGGAGAACACCATGGTCATTCTCTTACATTCCACTCAAAATAGTTTAAGAGGAATAGTTGCAATTTTGGGATATACACTTATTATTTTCTTTCTTGCCGAGACTTAGATGAGAAAATCTCTACCTCTTTCATGTCTGTACTCTAAATATGAAGCTGGAGCCAGGAGTTCTTTAGTTTAGCTTAGCATAAATACTGGAAGCAAGGGGAAACAGCTAGCCTTAACCTCTAAATTTAATTAATTAACAAGTTATATCTTGTTTTGGTAATCCATACAAACACAAATATGAAAACAACAAGTTGTGTTTTTACAGACTAGCTGTTCCCAGTCTTTATTGCATGCTGAGCCAATCGTCTGCTGGCTCTAACTTCATTTTTGGTGTACAAACTCAAGCATCAACTTACTCTTGGCAAATAAGAGTATTGCCTTTAAAATGACAAACATCTGTTATGATTAACAAACAAAACTTTTTAATGGTGTACAGTCAGGACGTGATTATCCACAAATCCCAATTTTATCATAAGGGACTGACAGCCATTCTTGCCAAGAAGGAGTTAGCTATTACCAGACAGTGTCCGTTGATTGGATCACAGGCGCTGGCATGTCCATTGCAGTTACAACCAGCACAGGTGCCAAGATAGGAGCCACCGGGGACACGCTCGAAACCAGCAGAACACATCTCACAGGACAGGCCTGAATATCCAGGGGGACATCTGGGAATGATAAGTATGGGTCTCATCAAGCAGGGTTTAAATCCAACTGTTTTGATGACACAACTATGACGAATCCAATTACAACACCATAAACTGCAAACTTTGCTAATGTCGTAAATAAAAAACAGCTGACTAAAGCCACATTTTTAAACATTTTTTCTGCATTTTGTCTTTTATTAGATAGTAACAGTGGAGAAAATGCCAAAAAACACAAGTAGAGAGAGAAGGGAATTACATGCAACTGAACCTGGGACGTCATATTTTGGGGGCATGGACACCAAGCTGTGCCTCAAAATCTTTGTATTGATTTAATTACATTACACATATGAATGTAACCGTATTATTGTGCAGCACTTTTCACTCTAAATATGCACATGATGGAAACGTCCCAACAGGTTGCTTTGATTATAGACTTTAGTGACTGACGGCTTGTAAGGACCTCCCATCTTACTCAACCCCACAGTATCATGCTGGAATCTTTACTTCAGGATTTGCTTGTATTTTCTTACCTGCACTCTTCAACATCCTTAGCATGACCCAGAGTGCTGAACTCCACAGTGGTGGTATCCATGACAATGTCACTTAGTGCCACGCTCACCATGTGGTTGTCGTAGATGGTGCGGATGCTGATGCTGTCCATGTTGGCCAGCGTCATCATCAGCTCCTCCCTGCTCACAGGGCGGCCATTGGAGTGCTGCCAGTTATCCTGAGACAATAACGAGCAGGTTTACTGTTGTGTGTACATTTACAAATTTAATAGGAGACTATATAGCTCTGGATTAATACGCTACAATGAGTCAAATAAGTAAAAATCTGGTCAAAATTTCTATTCTTCATCTTTCAGTTTTGCAGACAACTTCTACAGCATTTTTCTATTATCTTTTTGAAGAATTACATATAATCATCACGATTTCACCACAGGATTGTGCAGATTCTGCACTTGTTTTTGCCAGTAGAATTTTTCTTAACCAAAAACCTACTTCAGTGAATTTGATCTCCTTTTGGTTGACCACTCGGGCAGGGGTGGTGCTGCCTCTGCGGTACACAAGCCTGCGACCATTTCCAACCAGCATTACATCCGGCTTCTCCACAACCTCAGACAGACCACGGGCCAATGTGTACCGCACCTTGAACTTCAGGGATCCTCCATAGGAGTCAATCTAAAAATAGATTAAATTATTTTCATATTTAGGTGTGATAATTAGTTAAGTAAACTAAAATCTGTAAATAATTTACCTTGTTGCCCAGGAACTGGCGAGGCAAGGTCCAGAAAGAGTCAAGGTTGAGGAAACGACGAGACAGGTCGACAAGCTGGAACTCTTCCATCTCAGGGTTAATGAGGAGCTGAGTGGACGAGAGAGGAGGCGTGCCAGGCCTTGAGGGGTAGGTCACATTCACTCCTGGAAATAAGAAAACAACACGCACTTAGACTATTTTATGATCTCAATGTGTCTAACTATACAAACTTTTAAAGGTATTTCAGTTGATAGTTAATTAGCTCTGCTAGCTGTCTATCGGTTTCATAAGCATCAATGACTTCAGTGCCTTTGAAGTCTTCCTCCTCAGTGAAACGCAGGCTGATCCTGTTGCGATAGCGACCGGTGCCCTTGCAGTTCTTGGTGGTTCCAGCACAGAAGCAGGAGACACAGCGGCCCTCCACACTGAAGTGACCATCAGGACAGTTGCCTCCAGAGAACAAGAAACGACACAGGAAACACGTCAATATACAGTATACTCTTATTGTAACTAAAACACAGTTTGTTGTAAAAAACTGAAGTATTTCTTGTGGTGATTAATGTGTCAGTACCTTGATTTGGATTTGATGTGAGAGTTAGCACTCCATCAGGGATACCAAACACCAGGCCTTTAGCGTTGATGGCCTCACAGGTGTACGCCCCCTGATCCGCCTCCTTCACGTCACGAATGGTCAGGGTGCCACGGCCGTTCTCGCTGGTCATGGAGATCCTGGGAAACACATAAATGCAGCTCAAATTATAATTTTTACAGTAATTAATTGAGGGTCTTTGCCAGCTATGGCGTGGACCATAAAAGGAACCCTTCTGTTTCTGATTCTCACTGTAACAATGTGCAGAAATATTGTTACACAAAAATACGTAAAATTTATGTGATTGTCAAATCATGCACACAACAGACTACGCCAAGAAGGAACATTCTGAAACAGCAATTTTTGGAGTTGGAGCACACCACAAATATCTCACCACCACAAATCACAGGTCTGAATACAATTATGAGTCAGCATAGAAACACTAATCTAACAGGGCTGTCGACGGTTATACTGTGGCCTCAAAGAGCAATCATCACATGTCAGGTGTAAACAGAAGAAGGCGAGACAAATTCATAGTCATTTTCAAATCCTCATGGTCTGCTATTAATCAATTAGGCAAGACTGGCTTTCACCAGTTGCAGATGTTTTGTTTGAGACATCTTTTTTCCGAAAGTAGCAACAAACAAAAATCAATTTAACATCCAGCACATATCACTTCCAAAGATGTCAGATTATTTGGACAGCATTTTCCATAAACAATGAATAGTTTGTAATACTGTCAAAATCAGTTAGTTTAGTTTGTACGTTAATTTTAATTACAGTAATAAGAAGTCAGGAAGTGTGGACAATTTCTCATCAAACCCACCTGCCGCTGACAGGAATGTGTCCCCAGTTGAGTCTCCAGGTGATGATGGGTGTTGGCACTCCAACAGCCTGACAGGTGAACGTCACCGTCGCCCCCCGCGCTGCCTGAACGGACTCTTCTGGCGGGCTTGTCACAGAGGGAGGGGCTGTAATGTGTCAAGAACATGACAACTGCTTTAACCTCATAATAAATGCACATGTACAAAAAGACTGGCATGTGACTGGAATTTGGCAATCCAGTGAAGCTCATAAATGCCTGACAGTCAGAGGAAACATAATTCTCTGCTATGGACAATTCCCTTTCAGTTCTCAGGAATGGATGGTTCACAAAAAGCTCTGTGTCTCAGTCAACACATGTGTGAAAAGAGCCTGGTTCACAGCAAATTAGTCACAGCATACAAAGGAACTCAGAGGGTGACGATGGAGGAGAGTCAAAGAAGCATAGAGAGAGAGTGTAAAAAGTAAGAAAGAATGTGGATGAAATGTGGAAAAGAGAGAGAGAGAGAGAGAGAGAGAGAGACTGCAGGAGCAGAGAGCTGTAGAGAGCTGTTGGTGTGAGACTTACTGCAGCCGTACTCATCAGAGCGGTCAGGGCAGTCTGGCTCTTCATCACACTGGTAACTGGCTGGGATGCAGGTGCGATCGCTCAGGCATTCAAATTGCTCAGGAGCACACCTGTCGCCAGGACCCTTGGTGGCTGTAGTTACGACAAAATGGAGATTTACCGCGACTTTAAATCATTTTGCATCAATTTAAGGTTGAGAATTGAGACACCATTTTCATGTGTGTACGCTAAATATGAAGCCAGTAGTCATTTGGCTTAGCTTAGCATAAAGCCTGGAAGCAGTGTCGAAATGTTACTCTGGCTCCGTCCAAAGGTAACCAAATACGCCTACTAACACCTCTAAACTCACTTAAAATGACCATATCATATGTCATCTGACAAGTTGTGGTTTTATGGGGGTTATGTGCTGGAACTATTTCTTGGCCAGAAGCAGTTTTTTTCCCCTGCTTTCAGTCTTTATACTAAACTAAGCTAACTGTCTTCTGGCGGTAGCTTCAAATCTAAAAAGCAAATAAGCGTGTATCCAGAAATGCTGAGAAAAAAGGAGACTTACGGCAGTCTGTTTCATCTGAATTATCCTCACAGTCGTTGTCTCCATCACAACGCCAAAGCTTGAGGGCGCATCGACCATTTTTACACTTGAACTCATTGGGTTCACAAGGAGATGGAGTACCTGTGAAAAGATGAGAGGACAATAAGTGCATGTTGTTGCCTGAGGGTGTGCACATGTGCTAGGCTGTGTTTTTTACCACATCTGAATTCGTCGCTTCCGTCAGAGCAGTCCCTCTCCCCGTCACAGATGTAGTCTCGTGGGATGCACTCTCCGCTCTGGCATGTCGCCTGATCAGCTCTGCAAGGTCCAGGGGGGCTGACGGGCCGCGGAGGTTTCTTAACGGTGGTGGTTGTGGTGGGAGTGGTGGTGAACACTGGAGGAACCGTCCGTTTTGTGTCTAAAACAAATCTCTGATTAAACTTAGCAAACATGCAAAGTTGTGTTACTGTAAGTGAACATATCTCACATCCAGCCAGTTTTCCATGCTATAGCCGACCGTGTTACAACTTGCTGGCCAAACTGAAGCCACTCACCACAATTGATCTCATCACTCATATCTCTGCAGTCTGGTCTGTTGTCACACAGGTATTCCATCAGGATACATGTTCCATCACCACACCTGTGCTCATCTGGCATGCAGGCTCTGATGCTGGGGGTTACTATGAGAGATGCAAAGGGTAAAAAAGGAGGGGGGAGTGGTGTTGAAGGATCACAGACATGCAAGCCAAGGCTACAGTACGGCCAAACACACTACACTACGCTAATGTCATATCACAGCACGAATAAAACAAAGTCGGATGAGAAACTACAGCATCCCTGACCCCTCAGCCATCAGGTCACTAGAGTCAGTGTAACTCAGGCATGTTGTCTAACTGTCATAGGTAAAGATAGATAGCTATATGGATAGATAGATAAATAAGACAAGACATAATAGACAGACTAGATAGACACACAGACAACAATAGACTGCCAAACAGCCTAGAACAGACTCACCAAACTAGACACAAAGACTATTTAGACAATCTGGAGAGAAACGCAAACTATACTCAACAGACTAGATTATACAGACTAAGAGAGACACACAGACTAGATAGTCAAACACACAGACAACACCGGACAGACTAGAAAAACCTAGTATAGAATAACCAAGACACACAGGCTAGAAAAGACGAGACAAGGCAGATAGACACAGACAGACTAGACAGACAAATAGATTGGGACCCTGTCATCTTAGTACTGACACTGAAAATATAGTTATAATTATCGTATCCTATCCTATCAGTTGCAATGCATGTGTACGGAGTTTGTGGTAAATCAGAGATCAGAGTGAACAGCAGCATTCCTAATCAGACCTCATGCCATGCAAAGATCCTTCTTATTCACTGTGCGCTACTGGACTTTGGGGACCATACTTCAAAATCTACTTTACATTGGTGCTTCCATGCAAAACATTCCTCCAGACCACATGACCATTTGCTTGAACACGCCAAAGTAAAGGTCATTGTAAAATTTCAACATCAGAAAGAAGGAAATGCTCGACTGTCCTTTCTACAGCACTACAGTCATTCTACAGTTTCTACAGTACAGTCGGCTCAGTCACCATGCACCACACATGGCACAGTACAAACCTGGCACTGCTATAGGCTCCACTGAAGGCAGAGGTTGAACTAGAAACCAGAGGGAAATGTTAAGGAAACCGCCTCCGGCTGGAACTTAATTTGCTGTAAACATGCAGCAAACTCTTGCGTCACTTTGCAGCCGTGATAAGTGCTGTTCCTCTTTCCTGAGATCTTACCTTCCCCAAGTCGTCTGAACTGAAAGCCCTGGACTGATGTGACATAGGAAGCAATGGCTCCCTCCTTCACCACGTTGTACAACACGCTGCGGATTTGTTCATCATTGGTGTTGTAGTCAGAACCCACGTCCAACTCCACAAACACGTCCACGCCATCGTCTCTGATCACCTTCCTGTAAAGATCGAGAAAGACCTGGTGAGGCTACAAACCGTGTGGAGTGCACTGCAGATGGTTCAACAGGAAAGCTCTTTAGAGGTAACGTTTCTCTTTGGGTGTGCCTTAGAGAAAGTAGTCAGTGTTGACGAATTACTGACCACAGGCCCACACTGTTGGCCTTGAGCAGTTTGGAAAAAGGAAAAGAAATATCACCTGGCCAAAGTAAGACACCCAGGCAGCAGCAGCACACAGCTGTAGGGTATCTACTTTGGGTGTCACAAGGCGTGATTTAAAGGGGTTGTGTTCTTACTTAATGAGGACCACGTTGACTGTCTGGACACCTGGAATCCTGTTGTAGTCCGACTCCAGCTGTGGAGGGAAAATCAGACTCGGTTAAGATGAAATAAACAAACCTGGGCCTTATTTTTAGACATAAGGTCACACATACTTAAATCAGCAAAGTCATAAATTACATGCCTGAACCATGGGTAGCCTTAGCGTACTGTACATGACTACTATTAGAGTTTATTTCATGAAAAAAAGGACATACCGTGTCCACCACTGCTTCGGAGACCTCATTAAAGGCTGTTGAAAAGATGTCCTCGAGGTCTGGGGTGTATACCAGGGAGTCAGTGAAGTTGACGAGAGCTCTGTAATAAACTAAAAACACAGAGACGGGAGGAGAACCTGTCAGCTAAACCACACAATAACAGACAACGACCACAGGCTCAGCGTTAATGTCCATCTGTTGCCGGGTTTGGATATTATAAGCCCGATTCAAGCTGTTAAGTTTATTAAAGACAATGTGATATGGGATACTGTGTTGGGAATTATTTCCCTTAGGAAAGCCTTTGGTTGAATGTTTCAGAGAGTAAAAACTGGAGAGCATGACTGTGGCTTAAATAAGAGCCACATACAAATTATGGCGTCTATTTCCATATCTCAATTGTGGTCGGGTCTGTGCTAAAACCAACCACTGCAGCGTTGCACCAACAAGAGGCACACGCTGACACAGGAACGCTCTCGCCCACTCAAATATAACTTACAGTATCTAGGCTTGTCTTGCTCTCTGGATGTGTCATGGGCATGGAGACACATAGTCACAAATAGTGGGAGACAGACGCTGATAAAGCCCCTTTGTTGCAAACACAGAAGTGAGTGCACTGTCTGAAACCTAATCAATGCAAACTGAAATACACAGTACATGGATATCAGCCAAAATAGCAAGGCCACAAGTTTGCACCAGACCTCCTGATTGAATGATGATATCAGAGAGTGAGTGGGAGTTTGAGTCAGCATCGCTGCTGTGCCAGAGGCTACAGAGGAAGAAGAAGAAAATCCTCTGTGAATGACCATGGAAGGAGCCCTCAACACTCCCTCAACATGTATCAAGTCAAACACATAAAGCAGGCAGGAGAGCAGCTGAGGGGGTTGCAGCTGGGGTTATATCAATGGTCTACAGATAACTGGTCTGACTGGTCATTAAACATATCGGTGAAATGGTGGAAAGTATGGCACTCCATATTAAGCTGCTATCAGTTCCCTTTGTTCTAACTTGCCTGGAGTGATGGGTGAAATGGGGTGATTCCATTAGAGCAATCCAGATTTTTTTGCAGGTAAACTGATTCACATTCTAAACCTTACTCGCAGCTGGTTCATTTTACATCTACTGTACCCATTGTCTCTGCTAATGTGTCCTTGATAAAGGCAGAAAGTTGCTACACTGCCTGACCTTCCCCTCTAATCACTGTAGCCAGCGAAAAAAGACAAGGTTCACTTTCTTTTTGAATTTTTCTCTTCCCCTCTCTTCTAGGACTCATATTGCTCTGCATAAAAACACCCCACCCATCTGCCGCATATGTGGGCTAGGACAGGACATGTATCATGATGTCATGCTGATTTATTTAAATTCACTGGTAAGCAACCAGTGGCACCAACTCCACTTTCTTGCCATTTTCAATTCCACATCTGAAAAGCCAGGCATTTCACAGGATCAACTGTTTCCTAAGTTGTGTTGAGTTTGGAGCTTTATAATTTTTATCTTATAATCTTCCATGGATTATGTCAAAAAGATTTATTCAACTAATCAATTTTTCCACTACAGTTACAGATAGACTTATAAAACATTGTTCAATTCTATTGCTAACTGCCGATATAAAACATATTGATGAGCTATATAAGTAACTCATTATCAACGAAAATGTCAGCTGTACTATTATAATTCCAATGTCACAGACTTAGCCCATGAAACTTAAAATAGCCCAGGCCCGCAGGGTGCCCCGTTCTCACATTCCTGCCAACACTTTGTTAGGATGGGCCTGCCAGCCTCTGATTTCAGACTGGCAGTGTGAGTTTAGGGAGGAAGTCAATATTTGCACTGTTTCTTGCAGTCAGATGCTACTTGCCATGCCAAAAGCAAAGAGTCATGTTCTAAGTAGGCATCTGCTGAGCCTCTAGTTACAAACATGCATGCCCAAATATGTGCAAAAGAATAAATCTGCACACACACACACACACACACACACACACATTTACAGTGTGCAGAGAAAATATCAACACTCTCTGTGTATATCGCTTCCTCCCTTTCCCTTCTCCTTTGATAATTACATATCTCTAGACATGTGGACACTGACAGCAGACATTTATCATGCTTACCAGGAGCTACTTAATTAAAAGGTAAAGATTTTGCATCTCACACTGTGTGTTCTCTGTGTTAAAGGCCTGTGGGGAACCTTGCTGCCTTATGCTCCACTGCCTGAGCTTTGGCTGGTAAACAGCTGTCCTCTCTGCTAAATTCTCTTTCCTTAAACAAGCATTGGCACTACAAGACATCCCATTCCTGGTGAGGAAAGGCCTCATTTATGACAAAAAAAACTGAGCACTGCCTATGAAAACACACGGTGAGGTGAACATGTAAGAACAGAACTGCAGGGTTCGGCACAGCCTGGCAGGATGCCTGAGTGCTTGCTTTGCAAAATGTTACTGTCAGACTTATAGGAATAATTGTTCGGCCTGAATGTAGAACCAGAAGACAGGCAACATCAAAGTTAGTCATCAAAGCGCCTCATTTGACCCGCATATAATCTAATCACTTGAGTGGGTACTCGCCGCCAGGTCAACAGCAGCTCGTAGGCCCAACTCTCTCTGTGCTTGCCGCCTTTGACGTTACGGACTGGCGAGTGTGGGACTGCCGCCGCCTGAGATCCTTTGATTAGAGTGCCGGGTTGTGCCCTGCTGCTAACGAGCGGCTCTTTTACTCCAAGACCCAATCTCTTGTGCATCACTCACTGTTTCCAGTGGGGGGGAAATCCCCTCGTCAAGCGCCGCTACCATCAAGAGTGATGAAACTGTCAAGAGTGCAGACAAGATGGATGGGATGAAAAAACAGGAGCATTCCACACTCTTAATTCACAAACTTATTTTGCTATTAAAGCTGTTCAGTAGAACTGTGGTGGCTTTGTGCAATGGGCCCCCTCTGAACACATAGAGGCCTATACAGAAGACAAAGACTTGATTGAGTAGTGAGCCCAGGCTGGCCTTTAAAGCCTAGCCGCATTGGGTTTGACCTTCAACCCCCAAGGCAGCGCCCACGGCATCGGCCCAACACCACCAAAGCCATTTAGAGAGGGAGTGAGGGAGAGCCAGAATCTATAAGAACAAAGTCCAAACCACATTGCCTCAGCTATCCCATCAAAAATGTTTAATAATACATGTATTTCTTTTCCTTGGGCTTTTCCTCTTACTCTCTCTAGTGTCGCCCTCTCTTTCTCAATCTCTCTCTCCCTTAGTGTAATTATTAATATGCCAGCTGCCTCTTTCTCAGCTTAACTCTAGTAGACAGGACCCCTGCTACTTAACCCTTTTGCTGGTGGCCAGCCAAACAACTCTGTCTCCAAGTCCACTCATTGCCCTCTGGGGAACTCTTCAGAATAACTTCTGGCTTCGCTATTAAGCTTGACCTGTTGTGCTCTCCCACGGCTTGCAATGTAAGCATCAAAACCCACCATTGTGTATAAAAAAGGCACTTTTTTAATACTCATGTTGTAGTGATTCCGTGAAACAGCTGGTTCGTATCACTGGGATGAGCGCTTCTCTAATAATATCGTGGAACCAAGTGTTGGTTGTCCACAGAGATGAACACTGTTTTTAATTCCAACATATCTTTACAAAGATGTTTTCAGCTGGAAATGCGAGTGTTGTCATTCATGTGCGATGAACTACAGTACATTACTCGATGGAACAATCTCATCATTTTCCACTGGCATCAGAAAACACTATGGGAGACGCCTGCGAGACACTTGGAAAAACAGAGTCGCTGGACTCAAACGCTGCATGCCCAAGCTGAGTCTTCCTTGGAATGTTATCTGAGAGTGTGTTTGGAAATGAGAGTGCATAACTGAGCGAAGCAGGTGACAGGAGAGTGTGCCAAAGACAAGAGAGGAGAGAAGCAGCATAAGAAAAGAAAGAAGTTCTTGGAGACTTACTGTCCTCTGGTTCGACTGGGCTCTGTATGTTCCCCAGATATGAAGAATCCAACCAGCGTGCTATGGCGAGCAATGAGGGGCGAGGAGCAAGGAGCAAGGAGCAAGGAGCAAGAGACAGGGGGAAGAGACGTGGTGCAGAGGTCGATGGGGCACAAACAGGAGCCAAAGGTCAAGGATCAGACAAGAAAAGCGACACAAGGACCAGGGAGAAGTATCGAGTTAGCCAGGCAGGTGCAGAGAGGTTAACGTTTCAGGAAAGTTAGGAAGGAAATGATTGGAAGCGAGGAGAGAAAACAGAAAGTGACAATCAGAAAGAGGACTGCCATAAGAGTTGTCACAGAAACAGGAAATCAAGAAAATTAACAGAGCTGGTGAGAATTAAATAACACAGCACATAGAATATATCTGTTCAAAATATCAGTGAAATAAACATAAGAATGCAGCCAAGATAACAGCAAGAAATGAATGTCATCGCAATGTCGTGAGAAGCTAGAAATGTCGACATCAATTCTGTTTAAGCATTATCAACTGTCCCACTAATCATTACCATCCGCATGCTGTGGATACTCATGCTGAATGGGACAATGGATCCTGTGGTTTTTGTTGACTAATGAGTCCAAGCAGTGTCTGTCTGGAAACACACAAGAGAGTGTGCTTGCATGACAGCGTCAAGGAGAAAAGGTCAGGAGGCATCTCTTTTTGTAATGACTCCTCTTCAGTCCAACAGAACAAAGAGGATATCCTAAGAACACTGGAACACTTCCGCGCCCTGCTCTTCACATATCTTCACATCCACCCTGGGGCTTTGCAGCGAAGCAAGGAGGAGCTGCTTCCTGTTTTCCCTCCTAAATGGAAAGAACTGAGAACTATTATAACTGGTTTTTTAACCAAATGTTAAGCCCTCTGCACTGGCATGGGCAACAATGACCATGTTCTCTTTTGTGGTGACTCATTCATTCTTCCACTACTTTGGATGCAGTTACAGCGTGGGGCATGCTCTGAAATGTCACCTGAGGAAGGCCTCTACCATCGCTCTGCAACACCAAGGGGTTTTAAGAGATACAAGTCTTCAGAGTACATGTCAGAGTATTCAGTAAAACACTGACAACACAGATTTATCATACCCTGATCCAGATTCTGGAGTCCACTCCATAAACCTATACAGACCGCAGTAAA